TGACTTCTTTGTCGGTTCTTAACCGTCGTACCTTTGTCAAAGCTCCCTTGATGTCTTGTATGAGATCATGGTTTGCTTGGATGGTAATGGGCGGTTTCGTGCGGCATTCTTCTGGACACCTCGTCATCTTGATGGTGTACCGTTTCCAATCGATTTCGGGGTTGTGTTCAATCAGCCAGTCCGTTCCTAAGACTACGTCGGTATTCCCGATATCCCCGACGTAGAATCTGTTCTTCTCCTTGTGTATGTTGCCTTGACCGTCATCTATTTCCAGGATGAGGTCCGTCTTGTATTTGCAGACATACGTCGCTTCGTTAAATCCTTGCATCTTGAATGGTTTATCAACGCGATCAAACCATATTGCGTTTTTCAACACAAATTGCTGATTGATGACTAGACCCGTCGCACCGGAGTCTATCAAAACGTTCGCAGCAGCCCTTTTCGTGCCTCGTTGGACGGTTCCTTTTATCTCAATGGAGGGAGCATTCAACCGGTGAATCATCCCAACTTCCATTGTCTCGTCCGCTAGTACATCATATCGGTTCCTCGAGGCAAAACGTCCTTCCGGTCTTTGAGCGGCTGCCCTCAAAGACCGGTTCCAAAATCCTCCTGTATCATCATTAGAGCTTGACCTTTATCTTCGTCGGTCATAGCCTCTAGCATTTCCTTGAGTCCTTCTTGAGAGAACTGCATTCTTGCGCGCATCGTTCCTCCTCTTCCTCGGCTTTTCCATCCTCCTCGGCCTCTTCCGGAATTCCCTGCTGTCGGACACTCCCGTGATAGATGCCCCGCTTTATGGCACTTGTAGCACAGTCCTTCTTTAATGTGCCTTTCGCGCTCAGCTTGCGACATTCGTTGGAAACGCGGTTGGAACTTAACCGCGTCAACGTCCATTGGTTCTCCATAATTGTAGGATTGCCATGTCGTCGCCGTTGAGTACGTCTTCGGTACGTCGCTGAACTGCGATTGTACTTGGTCCGGGTATATCTTCCTTCCTTGGGAGTTGTCGTTCTTGAGCAGCTTCAGAATTCGTTGTGCGTCGACAGCGAGTTCTTGAATCTTCGGTAGCCCTGTACCTGGCGTCTTCTCTTCTAGTTCGTCGCAGTCGATCCTGGATTCTAGGACCTTGACTCGTACATCCTTGTTCAAGCCGTCTTCAAACTTCTTGATCAATGAGCGGTTATCGTACCCTGAATTATTGGCTAGGGAGTTGAACACGCTGATATAAGCGTCGACGGAGCTTTGTCCTTGGCTGAGTCGATCGATAATATCTCTTGCTCTTCTTCCTTTATCCAGGGGTTTGAACGCCGTCTCGAGTTCTGTTATGAACTGATCAAACGTTTGGCTTGCTCTAAGATTGCCGGTTGTCGTTGCATCCTTGATGTACTGAGTCTTCCATTGTTCTGCGATTCCCTCTTTCATGTACGAAAGGGCATACGCTATCTTCTTATTGTCGCTGTCGAATTTCTTGGGTTGCGCTTTTATCACCATTTTGCAGTGAGCTGTAAACGCTTCCAACCTAGATCGGTCTCCATTGAACGCTGGTGGAGCGCCGAGCTCTAGTTTCTCGTTGTCGGCCATTTCTTCGTCGTCGTCGGGTTTCGGTGTCGTCTTCTTGTCGGGTTTAATCGTCTCTTCAAGTTCTTGGTCAAATTTCTCTTCAAGTTCTCGGTCAAGTCTGTCTTCTTCTTCTTCAGGTGGGTCGATGACTATCGATATTGGAAGTGGGCTTAGTTGGCTCTTTTCTTCAAAATCGATGGTCCCGGTTGTAATATTCGGTGTCGGGGGATCGTATCCGACGATTTCAATCCACTGGCTTCCTTCAATTCTCCTAGGAGGTGAGACGCCAAAAGTTCCGTGTCGTCCGTGTTGATTTTCAAACCCTTCGCTAATTGCTCTAGCGACGGTGAGTAAACCGCTCTCCTTTTCGTATTGGTATTCTGCGACTGGTTGGTTGTCCCGGATTCGGATCGCGAGATAGGCTGTTGTTGAGTCTTTAAATTCGATGCAGAAGAGTTTTCTTCTGGTATCGTATCTAAGACCGGGGCGTAGCCTTTCAGTGAGCCTCTTGGTGACCCACGTGAAACTCGGGTTCGCGTATTCTTCTTGTAGTCCCCCTTCTTCCCTGAAGATCGTCTCTCCCTTCTCAAATTCAAATCCTCGATCCGTCTTGTTTCAAGGACACAGAGTAGACAAGCGTAAGAGCTCGTCCAAGTGTAAGAACCCCTAGATCGTGGTACCTTAGGCGGGTACCGAACCGTCGTGGTTGTTAGACTTGGCGTAAAGTCTATCGTTGTAGTCTAGGCTGTGTCGTGTGACTTAGGCGTGAGAGTTCGGACTCTAGACGCACTAGGTCGAGTGTGGTGGGTTGTTGTAGGTAGCGGTGTCTTAGTCTTAAGTCTAAAAGGCCGCAACCGAACCGTCAATCGTTATAGCGCTAAGGGCGTGTATAACAGATGGACGAGCTGAAGTCCATCGACTTCAGCTAGCGTCTTATATACTACTATACAAGTACTGTACTAGAACCTTCCAGTACCTACCATAACGTTCTATACTATTCTACAATGTTCCTTATGAGTCACAGTCGAGTCATAACCTGAGTCACTACAAGTCCTAGAACCTTCAGGCACGTTCCAGCGCCTTCTACAAGGTTCTACTCTATTCTGCGTGTCATTACTAAGCGTTCATGACAAGGACGAGCTGGCCAGCCTACGGCGGCAGGTGGAGGCCCTGACGAGTCGGGTGGCGGAGTTCGTGGAGGGATCGTCGAGGCAGGGCGGATCGGAGTTGGAGGAGGGCGAGGCCAAAGGCGAAGAAGAAGGGGAAGAGTCGGAGGAGTAGAGGATGTAGCATAGCATAGTTATACGAGCGTCCTGTAGGCGAGCCCAGCACCCGGTAAGCCCCACGCCAAAAAAGGCAGGGTGTATATGCAATCAATACTCTGGTCCTGGTTTGTTGGGGTAGCGAGCATGGAAGGCCGCAACGAGATCAGGAGCGTGAGTCAGCTCCGACGCTTGGATCCACGATTTCTCGTCGGAAGTGCCTTCGTATCCAAGCCAGCGAACCTCATAGAACAGCGGACATCGTCGGTAGCGCTTGTCCAGCTTTGAGTCTAAGATTTTGGCGATCTCGTACTCGAGTTCTCCGTCAATTTCGATCGGCGGTGGCGGAGATTGTACGCGGTTCGGAATGGTATTCGGATGAGCGGGCTCGAGCTGAGAGACGTGGAAAACCGGGTGTACAGATCACATAGAGTCGGGAAGTCGGAGGACAAATGAGGAGGGGCCAGCCTGAGATATAATATCAAAAGGGCCAAGGTACTTGTCAGACAGCTTTTTCGAGGGACGTCTAGTGCGGAAGAACTGAGCTTTCACAAATGCTTGAGCTCCGACTTTGAAGTCCGGAACTGGTAGTCGGCGCTTGTCGGCGGGACCTTGATACCGACGTTGCGCCTCCGCAAGACGAGAGCGGAGTTTGCGGTGGAGGTCGTTGAGGTCGACTGCATATTGTCGGGCTCGTTTGGAGGTGACGTCGCGCTCAGGATGGACTGTGATGGAAGGATGGTAACCCTTGTTAGCAAAGAACGGAGAGACGCCGGTAGACTCGTTTGGAGCATTATTATAGGCAAACTCAGCGAGGGGTAAGAGTTCGGCCCAGTTGTCCTGCTGGTAATTGCAGTACATTTGGAGATACTGCTCCAGAGTCTGATTGATGCATTCCGTCTGTCTGTCGCCTTCAGGGTGATATCCGGAGGTGAAGTGAAGTCGCATGTCCAGTACCTGTCCTAAAGAGCGGAAGAAGTGCGAGACGAATTCCGAACCTCGGTCGGAGGTGACGTGTTGAGGTACTCCGTGTTTTGAAAAGACGTGGATAACGAACAGCTTGGCGAGTTCGGCGGAGGTAATGGTATCGGTGGTCGGAATAAAGATCGCTTGCTTGGAGAGGCGGTCAACGACCACCAAAATGGCGGTACATCTGTCGGAGGAGGGTAGCTGCTCAATGAAGTCCATCGAGATGGCAGACCAGGGTCATTCGGGAATCGGAAGCTGTCGGAGGAGACCATACAGCTTGTGTCGCACCGATTTGCCCCGCTTGCAAGTCACGCAAGAGGCGCAGAAATCCTTGACGAAGGTGCGAATGTTGGGCCATATGTACTCGCGTCAGACGAGCTCGAGTGTCTTGTTCTGTCCAAAATGACTGGAGGTCGGATGATCGTGCTTATAGCGGAGTACACGTAGTCGGAGATCGTTCACGTCTGGGACGTATATGCGGCCATCTAGAAGTAAGAATCCGTTGGACCAAGACCAGCGAGAGTCAGGAGCGGGATTGGCATGCTCCTTAGTGGTCGGGTCAGTCGAGATGGCTGCGCGGATGTCGTCGTGTAGAGACTGCATGTCCATCAGCTCCGATGCACGGAGAGATGGAGTGAGTAGATACGTCGTGCGGAGAGAAGCAGAGAGTTGTTTGGAGATGAAGATGGGACGGTAGTTGTGTGGTTGACATGAGCGTAGCCACTATCCCCCTCTTTTGGGTAGACGTCCCAGCGTCTAGTAAGGGAGTCGGGCTTCTTGCTGAGTCGGCCCGGTCGGAAACGAATGACAAGATTAAAAGCAGAGAGGAACTCTGACCAGCGGGCTTGCCGGCGGGTCAAGAGTTTAGTCGTAGCAAAGTGCTCCAGGTTCTTATGGTTGGTAATCACATCGATGGGCGTTCCTGAGCCTTCGAGATAGTGTTGCCAGGTGCGGAAAGACTCAAAAATTGCCAAGAGCTCCTTGTCATGTGTGTCGTAGTTCAGCTCCGACGTGTTTAATGTACAGGAGTGAAAAGCGACCGGTCAGACTTCGTCATCAGCGCAGACAATGGAGAGAATACCGGCGATGGCGTAGTCAGAGGCGTCGGTCTCGACGATGAGTTGTCGGTCAGGTTCCCAGTGAGTAAGAATCGGAGCGGAGGTAAAGGCCTCCTTCAGGCGGTTAAAGGCATGTCGGCATTTGTCGGAGAAGAGGAAAGGTGTATCCTTGCGAGTGAGACGCGTAAGCGGAACGACGATGTCGGAGTAATTATAGATGAATTGGCGGTAGAAATTGGCGAAGCCGAGGAAGGATTGGACGTCTTTGACCTTGCAGGGTTCTGACCATTCGCGAATTGCGCGGACCTTCTCCTTGTCCATAGTGAGACCAGACGGAGAGAGGATATAGCCAAGGTACTCCACGGTGTCCACACCGAAAAGACACTTGTAGGCGCAAGCATAAAGGCCGTAAGCAGCTTGAGCATGGTCTTCAAACTGAGGGGTGACAAATGCAAGTAGCTCCTCCTCAGAGCCCAAGGTGTCCTTCAGCTGCCTTACAATCATCAACTGCTCTGTGTTAAGTCTCAGCAACATATCAGTGCCACTTTTGAAGGCAAGGAATAGGTTTTGTTGCGTGACATTCTGGAGGAACCCGGCTTCTTCCTGTTTTTGCACATTCACATGCCATTGCATATAGCTATGTGTTTGGCCAGTTCAGCTTTGATGAACTTGGACCATAGCCAGGCGCTAAGCTCACTGATAAGAACAGTGGTATCAGTATTACTGTGGTAGAGTGAGTAGAGTACACACTTATGACCCATGTTGTTTGGATTGTACCGTCCACTAGTCTCTCCATCTTGGAACCAGATGACTATGTTGTTGCCAAAGTCCATCAGGAGCCAAAGCCATGAGCGCTCAATGACGATGTTATGTATGCTTCGAAGGAATACATGAGCAGGAAGTAGGTCGTTGACGATCTCTGGAAAGAAAATCTCCCTGTGCAGTTTAGTAAAGTGTCATAAGTGCTACTATCACACTCACCGAAGTGCGTTGACCAGACCATACATTATGGTAGTCTCAGATCCACAATCTGTAGTATTCTGTAAGGGAAAACCTGTACCAGTGAGAAAGCAGTTTATGGACACATGGACCTTTGTAGTGTTCAACACAGCAGAGAAATAGGTAGCCAATTGTATTTCCCATTCTATTACTAGGAACAACCCAAGCATCAAGCCACTTTCCTGTTGCAAAGTCGACGACAGCGTAGACTGGAAACCTATTTTGTTCAGTTTATCATGTCTGTCCCAAGACCAACGCTCGTTGATTCCCAAAGGCACTATGGGTACACAAGGTATCATCTTCGAGTTCAGGTCTCTGTGCGTGAAGCCTTCTGGTGCAAGTTGATACATAGATGCTTTTATGTGATCACTGTAGATAGTGCCATGAGTGCTAACCTGGGGGAGAGTCAACTGAACTAACTAACCACGGGATATGAATAGCTTCGTTGTAAGACAAACGTGCCTTGATTGTTGCAGGTCCTGCATGGCTAGATGGGTCCTTGTCAAGCTCGTTGGCAACTAGCTGGTTCACTTGAAAATCTGACATGGTCTTTATAGTGGCCCTGCTGCCTTTCAGTCCTAGCTCATTCCGATGCCTCTTGACAGTAGTAGCTCTATGACAGCCATAATCAGGACTTAATCAGCATGATCGGGCATGGGTGAGGCCGTTTGGCAATAATGAACTTACTTCATCACAATCCCATGGTCGGCCAAGAGTCTTTCACTGATGTGATTGTTGTTGGTAAGTCCCTCGCAATGATAGGCCTTCAATGCAGAAGAGAGCACAGCATTGGAGGCAGGCACTGCACATATTTTGTGATAAACTGTACCATAGATGAAGAATGCATTACTGTCACGGGTCAATCATCGCCGACCATTGCCTACTATCCCCGACTGTCCTCCGACGGCTCCTCTGCTCTTCGCCGCTCATTTTCCCGCAGTCCTCCGACGGATCTCCGGCGGACTTTTCGTATCTTTGACTCCCCATGTTCCCTTTGTTCGTCCTTGCTCATTCTCACACTGTATTCTTCTTCCTTGTGCTCGGTTTCCTTGGCACTGATTCCCTTTGTGTTCCACATGTACTTTAGATCTTCTTCCCTGTTCCCTTTGTCTTACTGATGATAGATTCATCTCCGACTTTTCCATTGTTCTGCTTAGTACTTATACCAGCTTGTCTGTACGATATTGCTCAGTTCCAATATCGACTAGGCTTTCCCCTTTGCTCCTAAGCGGACCTTGCGTGTGTAGCGACCCTTCGGGTCAAGTCCGCCTCTGCCCCGCTTTGCTCCGACTTTGCTTCGACGTTGCTCCGACTTTGCTCCGACGTCAGCACACCACTCTTCTCGATATTGTCTCTGAATCGCATCCACCCAACTCTGTGTTGTGGTCTGGGCAGTACGCCCTTGCTTATTGGACTTAGGTCCACTCGTCCCAGACCCGTTCAGCTTCGGTATCGTTCATCTCCGCTTTTCCCGCGCATCAGACCTCCGCATTTCCGATATTTTTGCCCCGCAGTTCCGTCCCTGACAATTACTCACGGCAAGGGACATGCTGGTTGTTTCCTGTTGGATTATGATTATATACTGACATATTTATGGAGGCTGGTCCACAGATGGAGATTTGTGAAATGGATGTGGTGCAACTGCACACCTAGGTCACATGATAATTAGTCAACACGTGTACCATGCACAGCTACACACCTTCCAGCCCCATCCTCAAGCCAGATATTACACCCAGTGCACACGGCTGCTGGACTATGTCTCAGCCAGTACTTGGGTTGTCAGCAACTGCGCATGCTGGTTGCGTGCAACTGTGTTTTTTCCGCTAAGCCTCCTGTGTGCACCCTAGTGAAGGTGATTAGAATAGACAATAAATAAATCCAATGGTGCGGGTGCATCAAAACCCAGTGGGAAAAAGCTACCGCTACCAAAGGATTACTGATCTATGATGATGAAACTACAAATCCCAAGGTTTAATTCCGCCCCCGCCGTCATTTGCCTTTGCCTTTGCCTTTGCCTTTCCCTCGGTATTGGAGCACAGCTGCCATGCTGTCTTGCCAAGCTCAAGTTGCGAGCAGTAGATATTGGACGAGCAGTGCTCCCTATGTTGACTGAGGAAATGCTGGATAAAGTCTGGCCCTTTGTCCCAGAAGTGGCCACCTCATGATTCCTTCGCATAACAAGTATGTACCTGAGGATTGATGAGTATGAGAGTTCCAGTATTATCCTTGATTCCTATGGTAGCATCATAAATGAGAAAAAGAAATGAACAAAAGTGGAGAAGGAACTGACCTTGCAAGTCGCAGAAACATAGCCACTTGTCAGAAAATCCCACACAAAAATGAGTGAAAGCATGGACTAGTTGCTCATACATGTCATGTGAGATATTGCCCAAGTTGTCCTTTCCGGTAAACTTCACAGGCTTGGCATCAACACTTGAGCAAGGAAGCAAAGGAACCACCAAGAAAGAGGGATATGGGAGTACACAGCTGTATTTGCTTGCATCTGAGCAAGTGCCTAAGATAGCACCCTCAAAATTAAAGCAAAACACTAGCCAGACATGTCAGTAACTAATAGGCATGATTAATGTGCATTATCTGACCAGGATGTTTCACCTGCTTGCTATCAGCAAGCTCAATGAAATGGTTCACAAACCACTGCCCTTCAGCAAGAAGCTCATACTCGGCATGAAGTGTACGTAGATTTTCATCATCATTAATCCAATCTGTCTTGATTATCTGCAACAAGGTGTACTCTCGTGAACGGATGCGCGCCTATCATAACATCAGTGGAAAATTATGTAAATGAGGGAATTAACTCACATATGTTGCATTTTTGGATGATCCTTGGCCAAGATATCTGGATGAGAATACTCCTGCGTCCTTCGGCTGTCCCACCCAGGAATGCCAATTGGTCGCAACTTCGATCACTGACAGATCAGCTGAGATTTACCATGCAAAAGTAAGGGAATGAAGCCTCTCAGCCCTTATAGTATGAAAAGTCAACCTTATTAGAGGTGGATTTCGGACGAATGGAGTAGCAATGACAGGTTGGACTGGTTTGGTCATGGTGTGTGGAGGTATATAAGCGCTGAGTCTTTTCAAGGTCTTCTCTGGCGAGCTTGGAGGAGATATTGCAATAGATAACAATCTCTTGCGAGCAAGACGTTGTTGGGCTATATGAAGTGGTGCAGATAGTGAAGCTTGTGTTGATAATTCTGCAGAAGAAGGAGGTGATGGAGAGGGGCTGGTGAGATCGATGGTAGCTTCTTCATGTTTGATGGTGACCCTGTCATTATATGATAAGCCTAATCTAAGTGCTACTGATTGCTGAATCTTACTCAGGAGGAAGCAATTGCTGCAGTGGTGGAGGAGGTGGCGGTGCAGAAGGTGGCAGTGCAAACATGGATGTCAAAGTCATCGGTTTAGATACAGGTGCAACAGATTTCTTCTTCGAAGATTTGGGAGCAGTAGAGCAATGGGAGGGCTTGAATGAAGGCTTTGATGAGCTCAGTGGGGTGTTGTCATCATCATCAGGGGTCTGGTATATATGTTAGAGAGGGGACCCAAAACAGTTCATCCTCCTTGAAGCACATACAGAATGATATCACAGAATCATCCTTAGCTGGCTTGATCCAGCCATTGGCCAAGCATACTTGGTAGAAAGAGCTGACAGTCTTATCTTCCAGGAATGCAAGTGGCAGTGCACAAGCCTTATTGTGACCCGTCTTAATCATGATTTGAGCAGCTTGCATGAAGCAAAAATGTTTAGCAGAGTAGTACAGAGCTGTTATGACTCACAAGGTCAGAGGTAAAGCATTTGGCTCCTTGGCTTGGTGGGATTGCTGACAGAAGTCCAAGCACGTCTTCACAGCTTTGATAATAGACATGGACCCAGGAAATATCCTCTCAAACATTATCCAGTGCTAGAAATAGGCTCAGTGTATATCAATGTGTGATTTTAGTGGAGCAATACCTTCTTCGCCTTTATTCCTTTAGTGTGATAGATATTTACGCTGACCTTTGCCTTACTTGACTCATTTGCAATCTTTCTAGAAACAGCCCGTTGCTCCATAACAATATTGGTGATGCCATTCTTTGTGCTATGGATGCCTTTTTGAGTGAGTTGTTCTGAGTCTGTCCAGATGAGGATACATTTGCATTTGAGAAGGCGTGAATGTGTGATGAGGTTGCGGTGGACTTGAATGACTGTGCACAAGCCATGATGCCCTCTGCTTGAAGGGCAGTGGCATCAGGCTGAACTTGAGCTAGAGGTCCTGGTACATGTACCAGCTGATGCAACAATATAGTGAGTTATGTGAGTGGAGTATGAGTAGATAACATAGATAACATACTTCAGGTACAGCATTCCTGTTGTCCAATTAGAACAGCACACAGTCACCACATATTGGACCCTTGAAGTTCCTATAGGAAAGGCTACATGTTGGGCAACATGGCATCTTCTGAGTAGAAGGGTCATTTCGAGTTCTCTCTGTGAAGGGTGCAGCGTCCTCACAATAAGTGCCTCTTGTTCAGTAGAGCTGTGGGGTTTCGATGCCAGAGTAGTACATATGCTGCACAGAGAACCAGTTTGGAGTCTGGGATAGCTGGTACCACAATCTGGACAGGAAGGCATCACTGTCGCTGAGCATGCACAAGTTGTATGCATGACACTGTGCTTGCAGCGCAGGGCGCAGGGCATGGGAAATAACATGTATAGTTCATGAGAGCTAAGATACAGGAGTTTGAGTCTCTAACCTGCAGCACAGAGTATATAGCTAGCTAGCTGGTTGAGCAGAGTGGTACAGATCGCCTTAATTCAACGGCCCTGTACTGGTGGGAAGTGGTTCAAAGCTGGTCTCTATTGTCCATTCACAACGGGCTTCTGTTACAGGTCACATGTACTTGGAATGCACGCAGAATATATTCATTTCTTCTCATTGAATTGAATAGATTGTAGCTACCGACTTACCTCAGCAGGTCTTGCAGATGGTGCAGTCAGATATGATACAATGGATTATAGGAGCCAACGTGAGCCTTGATTTCAGCTTTTGTGCTATGTCTGTCACTCACCAGTACAGTCGAGGACACCCAAAGTCAACAAGAAAAATGAACGAGTTTTCTTGCTCCGTAAAACACGCAGGATGAGTGCCTGATGTGCTAAGGAGTATGTACAGCATGGGAGGAAAGGATTTGCACGAGCCGATTGTCAAAAAATCTCATAGTAAGGTTGATCATGCCCGAAAATTTGGCCACCCCCTAAATTTGGCCCAAAAATTACAAAAAAAAAGCCCAAACAACGAATTTTGCCTCCGTTGTGCAGAATATGAGTATCTTCGTATGCTCAGCAGGTTGGGTGAGCCAGGAAAAAAATCAAAAGATGGGTCATGTGATGCTCTTTCACCTCTGACATGCCTGGAAAGAAGGGTGGATGCCCGCGCAAAAAGCCTCGCCGACAGAATATCTCGGGTCTAAACAATCAGAACACTTCTGAAAGTCCATCTAGAACAGAAATAGACTCTCCAAATGAGGAACCATCAGAGCTTTTCAATGTGGACGATGACTATGGGCTGGACTTGGAGACCACAGGAGGAGGGCTTCGTGCTGAAACCGTGTGTTTTGGATGGAGAGGGTGAAATCAGTGAGACCCAGTTAGAGATGTTCATGGGTGTTGATCTGTCACAATCATTGGAGATGATGGCAGAGATGGCCAAAGAATTGGGAGACCCAGTGAGGGATGACGAAGAATGGCTCCCACTAAAAGAACGGGCTATCAAGGCAAAGCGGAAGCGTGAGTCTTAGTGGAGATCCTGTGAACATTCAACGGCACTGACCTCCATCAACAGCACGTCCTTCACGATATATTACAGGCCCTGTTCTTGCAGATCAGTCAGCACGGACTCAGTGCTGGCACTGTGCTCGTCTGAAGGGGCAGAAGGACATTTCCGAGATGGGATTCTTCACGCGCATCTTGAGAGAGGCTCCAGAGCCGGCACCACTTGTCCCCTGTATCTGTGACGAGCAACGCGCAGGGGAACGCCCGTTGGGGTTACCAATCACTTAGACAGTTGGAATGTCCAAGCAACTGGGTAGAGTTGGAGGGAAAGGCAGTGTCGTCGGCACTTACTATAGGCAAGAGTATACACAGATAAAGAGGAGCTGAGCTCGACTCAAGGTCACTGGACACGAGGTCGACCGCGACGCAATGGACACCTAATGGACTCAAGGTCAAACACTAAGTCCCCAAGACACAAGTTAGCATAGTATCTAGTACAGAGATGGTTACTCACCTAAGTCCCCAAGACACAAGAGGTCGAGATGGGGACTTAGGACGAGTTATAGGGGTCTTATATACACCAATCCATCATCTAAGAATAGTACAAGAGAATCACATGCAGGGCACAAGGATGAGTAAGACTGACCCACTTAGGTGGGTCAGGATTATGAATCAAGGAGTTAGAAGGAATAACGAGTCATTGTTCATGAGTAAGCGGAATAAACCTCTGGTGGCTGTGCAGGGCAGTGCAAGGCAGTGCAAGGCAGTGCAAGGCATTGTCAGTGATGCTGTACTGCTGCCACTGAAGGTCACGTGACTTTGGAAAAGGAAAGGTGGGAAAGGGAAAATGATAAGTCCATATTTTAGAAATGAAAAATGCGAAAATAAATTGTCCTTCTCTTCTCATCACAGTATCCGCAGTCCCTCAGTCTCCACTGCAGTGGTCTTGGATTCAGAGAGTGCTTCGAGTGAGGCAGAGAACTCAAATGAGAATGGGGATGTTGATGATGGAGGCTCCAAGCCAGGAGTGAGTGTGGAGGAGGCTGAAGAAGATCTTGAATGGGAGGATGAAATGAGGATTGCGGGAGGTGCTGTCGAAACAAGAAAGCCTGTCAGTGACATCCGGACTTGGGACAAACTCCGAAAACAGATCGACACCGACTTGAAAAAGGACACAAAAAATGGCTCCACACTCACCTGTATCAACCAGCTCGTCCTCCTTCGCAATTTTGCAACGTTGAGGAAGAGGGGTTATGAACGGATGGATGCGAGCAGGCATATCGTGTTGGCGTGGTCCGACAAGGAGGGTGTGCACTCCGCAAGGCAGATCCGTGCTATTATCAGTTGTACGAGCAACTTCCGGAAGAGCGCAGAGATGGTGACCGTGGTCAGTCGCTGCTCAATGATGAGCGGGTTCAGGCAGCATGCCGGCATTGGCTATCGGCTCTGGCTTCAGGCGAGGTGACTCCAAAACAGTTTCAAGTTGTGATCAACAATGAGATACTGCCTAATCTTCTGATTACAGTGTCAAAGCCCCTATCGTTGCGGACGACACGTCAATGGCTTGTGAAGCTCAGTTGGTGCCACACACGGATGAAGAAAGGAATATACATGGATGGTCACGAACGTCCCGATGTTGTCGCATATCGACAAGATGTGTTCCTTCCGCTGATGGAAGAATACGAGAAACGCATGGTGCAGTTTGTAGGGCCAGAGCTGAAATGCACAGAGCTGGTTCTTGCTCCAGGGGAAAAGTGTATCATTGCCATGTTTCAAGATGAAAGTTGTATACATGCGGGTGAATACAAGAACTCTGTTTGGTATGTTACCCTGTTTGTTGATGATTCCAATGCTAAAAACACTCAGGCTTCGAGTGTCCATCAGAGAGCAAAAGCTCATGAAAAAGAGTAAAGGTCGCATAATTCACATCTCTGATTTTGTCGAGGAAGAGAATGGATGGTTGGTCGTCCGAGACGAGCACGGAAACATTGTGCAGGATGCACACAAGATCAGCTACCCTGGCAATAAGGGTGACGCTTGGTGGGATCACGAGCAACTGCTTGCTCAAATGGATGATGCCATCGACATCTTTGAGCAAGCACATCCTGACTGCCAGGGACTGTTCATCTTTGATCAGTCTTCAGCTCACGTAACTCTTGGTCCTGATGCTCTCCGTGCTTTCGACATGAACAAATCAAACAGAGGAAAACAATGGAAGCAACGGGATACCGTCATCCCAGAGTCCAATCCAGTGGCGGAGCACCGAGGTAAAGTGCAGAGGATGACAACGGAGGACGACGAACAAAAGGGCCTCAAGCAGGTTCTCGAAGAACGTGGCTTTAATGTTACAGGAATGCGTGCAAAATGTGCGCCTGTTTGCCCCTTCGAGAATGATCGTTGCTGCATGGCACGTCTTCTCAGCAAACAGGAGAACTTCCGCATTCAGGAGTCTTTACTCAAGCAGAAAATCAAGAGCCGTGGTCACCTGTGCATGTTTCTACCCAAGTTCCATTGCAAGCTGAATCCTATCGAGATGGTATGTTCTTGTTACAATCCAGAGGTGATCTATCTCATTGCAACCACAGTATTGGGGCTGGGTGAAGTACCGCTATCAGGAGGTATACAAGGAGAATTTTGATGATGCAAAGAAGCACGTGAGAGAATGCCTCGACAGCTGCCCAGTTGACGTTATTTGTTGATTCTTCAACCGTTCGTGGCGATTCATGAGTGCGTATTGGAGAGGCTTGGCTGGTAAGGCGGCAGAGTGGGCAGTGCGGAAGCAAAGGAGTCATCGTGTGGTCTGACAGCGCGCGATGCTATCAATTGATGCTGTTCTGGGCCATATCTAAGCTTATCCGGTGATCTATACGTAGCGGTGAACTCAAGCAAAAAATTGGCCATCCCAGAAAATAGCGTGAAAAATTAAACAAGACTGGTTTCAGATGTTTCAGACCTGCCGCAATTCAATTCTGTAGTCTGTTTTATCCAAAAAAAATCTTCTCGGTCACTACACGTTTTGTCGACTTTGGGTGTCCTCAACTGTAAGTCACCAATGTGGCTGTGTCACAACGCGCATACGAGACCCCAGCAATGACCGACTGCCTAATCTGGTATGCAGTGCTAGATCACATCACCGATCTCGCATCAATCGGTCCTGACCAGGACCCCCGTTAATACAGTTAAAGGTCGGAATATTTACCCCGTTAATACGGTTTAATGTTAGAATATTCCGACAACATTTTTGGCCCTGAAAAGGGCCTTACGTCGGAATAATTGCCGATAAAAGCACGTCAGAGGGCGCCGCAGGCCGGAATAATTTTGACGACATCTGTTCGGAGTGACAAACCAAGGTCAGAATATTTGTCGACAAAAGGATCGAACCATTGAGGGCCTGGAGAGGAACAGCCCAGATAAAGCCATAAATTCCCACGATGCTGGAATAGAGCGCAGACAAAATGGGCACCGCAGGCCCGATGTCGGAATATTTGCCGACAAAAACGTGCCGATGGAAGCAAAAAATTGCCAACAATACGACTCATTTTGGGTCAGGGTCCTTCCTGCTCGTGAACCGTAACCGGCGGAATCATCACGTGATAAGGCCGGGTCGCCGAGCTACAGAGCTAAGGCTAAGCTCATGCACGATCCGGGAACATCACGTGAGCTACGTCACATTCCCGTCACAGTCCTAATTTGGTAAAAACGACTGTCCCTCCGCGACGACGAGCTGCGTTCAATCCGCCCAACGTACATCCGACTATAATAGACTACCAGCCTAAAGAAACAGTGAATTGCTTCACCTCCGATGATGCAGCTGCATTGGCATCAGCTGCATTTCCCCGATGAGACCGCTCTGACTTTGTCCGAATTCTCATTTCACAGCTAGTTCGGTGTTGATATCGGGAGATCCGTAGGTGGCAGTATCAAAGACAAGGCTCAGGAGTCCCGGAGGATGCACAGTGAGCAACGAGGACGACGACGAGGCGACACGTCAAACCAAGCAGCCGTAAATTGCCTTTTTCGGAATGTCACGCTAAACATGTGATGTTCCCGGATCGTGCATGAGCTTAGCCTTACGAGCTACGAGCTTAAAACTCTGTAGCTCAGAATTGAAGAGACCTAGTTACAGCATCATCTACCGCGCTAGGATCTCGGAATTTGACGCGATACGATCGGCTGGTCAAGGATCCTGTCCGCCGTTCTGAAAACGTTCAAATTCACTTTCTTGGTTCAGCAGAGCAATGGCGAATCCTCAGGTATGCCTTGAGTTGTAACGTCAATTTCCGTCTCAACATTATTACACCTTCCCGTCCACAGGGTACAACACGTGGCGCTTCGCATGCCCTTTCGAATCTCGAAGAGACCACAAGTACAACGGACTGGATCAACCACAATGTGACGTTCCCGACCGATTCGTACGATCTTGATGATCCAGAGCCCTTGCTCGAACTTGATCACTACGTTGTACAATTGCTTGGTATTCTGGATATTGCTGTGGACGAGACGGCCTCTGATTTGGAACGTTCCATAACCGAGATTGGCCGAGGCATACCGCGTTTGACCTACGACCTCAATCTCATGCGAGAAGGCGCATTTGTTCTCCAGAGTTCTCTGGCCCACCTTCAACAGAGGACGCGGACGGTCGGCCACGAGGAAATCACCCATACGCTCAACACTCTACACCTTCTGGATCGCGGAAGGAGGAACATGGAAGCGGCACGACAATTGTTACTGGAAGCTCAGAGCTGGAATACTCTCGAATCCGAAGTCACTTCTCTGCTCGTTGAACAAAGTTATGAGAAGGCCGCCGAGCGTCTGTCTGAAGCAACCAAGTCAGTTGTTGTCTTCGAGAATACCCCAGAATACGATGCTCGACGTACTCTGCTGGTTAGCCTTCAGAATCAACTCGAAGCCTCTCTCAGCTCTGCCCTCGTGACTGCATTCAACACGCAAGATGTCGCTGTTTCCCGCAGGTTCTACACGGTCTTCCGCAACATCGATAGGGAAACCGAATTCAGGAATTACTACTACGGCTCCAGACGTAGTGAACTGTTGAAGGCATGGAGAGCGGCCGTCCTCGCAGAATGCAGTAGCACTGGCGAACCTCCAGAACCCGGTTGCGCGCCAAAGCGGAAAGAGTCACAACGCTTTTCTACGTTCCTAGCGAGCTTCTATGCCGCGCTGTTGTCAGTCGTAGAGGCTGAACGCCAGACCATTCCATCCATCTTTCCTGATCCCGAGTCAACGTTATCCAGTCTAATAGTCTCCATCTTCAGCTCACTGGATCCTTCCATGTCAGACCGCCTTACCTCCGTCGTGTCCTATCATGGCGCCTCCGCCATTCATGAACTCATCAATGCTTTCCGCGCCACGCAGGACTTCTCTGCAGCCCTGTCGAAATCTATGGAGAAGACAAGACTAGCAAGTGCTCATCCATCATGGCTCGCGGATGATGCCGCCTCCCGTACGGCTTCAATGCGGACACACATTCGCCGTCGCTCCGAGCGGCTATCGTTCTCTAGACGCCTCCCTGAACGTAGGATGTCAACGCTGGAAACCGATGTGTCACAAAGCGTATCTGAATGGGAACAGGCGATTTTCGAATCTTTCATCCCGACACAATCCGACTACGGAATCCTCGAGATCCGGGCATTGGACGAAGCTCTACGTAATCTCATGAATCCCTCCACTTCCCGAGCTTTGGAGGCGGATGCAGCTCGCTTGCTTCGCGAACGGACGGTCGATGTCCTGAGTTTAGCTGAAGACAGTCTGGGCCGCTGCATGTCGTTCACGTACGGAATTGGTGCCTTTGAGGCCATTCGTGCGGACGATCACCTACTCGCCTCTTTCGTCAACATGTCCAGCGGAGCAATCTTCGGAGCAGGATATCTCTCCCTCGGTCGCGAGCAGCTTAGTGTACCTGTGAGTGAAGAGCTGTCGCATCTCGATTATAGCGGATCGGACTGGTCCGGCATACAGTCCTGCCTACGCTTGTTGGAAAGTTTGCGCTCGCTACTCGATCGCGTCTCAGCGTTCGAGTTGAAACTGTCGGGAATGCTAGTGCAGGTTGCCGCGACGCTCAAAGGATTACAAGACGAAGCCCCACACGTAACCGACAGCAACCGGGGGAGTATACGTCTTCTAGCAAACTCTGTTCTTAATAGCGCATCTCTTCACCACCTTCTCCACGAAGTCGAGTCCAAGACTTACGAGACAACATCCCCTTCCGCAATACCTTCGCAAACCCAGCCATTGCAGTCGCAGAGTCGCACGTTTCGGCCATTGCTTGAGGACAGTCGCTCAGCGATTTCAGCCTTTGCTCGTAGATGCCAAGGCGCTCTACAGGATATTATTTTATCGCCTTTGCGCCAACGACTGTCGTCATACCCCACTCTCTCCGATTGGGCCACGAACAACGCCTCGTCGTCTCAGTCATTCGCGTCAAGTATAAGCAACTTGCAGGTCCCCTCCTTCTCGCTGTCACCCACGAGCATTATGCAAGACCTCACTGAAGGCTTGCTCAATCTGCCAAGGTTATTCGAAATCTACGCGGAAGACGAAGCGCTCTCCTTCTCAGTCGGCACGCTTCCTTTTCTAAGAAGTGACGTGCTCGCCGCGTTATGGGACCAAACTACTCCCGTCATCATTCACGCTATCGAGACCTCCAGAGTAGGCCACGCCCGTCGCTCCCCTTCACTGTCGGTGAAATCCGTCCCGCTAGCGATGCCCTCCCATTTATCGCCTGAAAGCGTTACGTCGGCCTGGCTCTCTGCATTGGGCTCGTCCGTCACATCTCACTTCGTGCAGGATGTCCTACCGCAGATCCAACGACTGACTGACGCAGGTGCGGCTCAACTCTCTTCGGACCTCGAGTATTTGTGCACGATCGTGGCTGCCCTTAACGTCGAGTCTGATGATCTGAAGAGATGGAAGGAGTGTGTAGATATGGACTCAAACGCGTATCAAGCCTTTCGGTCAACGAATGGTGAACCGGATCAAATATTGAACCTCGTGGCAAGGATGAGGGGCTGGTGATTGTTGACAGCTCTGTTAATTGATGGAGGACGAGGGCGAGCATATTGCAAAACGTAGGATGTGAATATTACGCCGAAGTTGACATGAAGCAACTAATGTACTATGTATGTGTATGCCTAGCGCACGCCCGTCACCAGAGCAGCTTGTCCTTGTCTGATGCGTTGCTCTGTCCGCTCGGCAGCAGCATCATAAACGTAATGAATTGGGGTGCTCCACGAAGGTCGAGCTTCCTCCTGATAGTGCTCGAATTGCGATGCGTCATCTGGATCCCCTGGAAAGAACTCGTCCTGGGCACCTGCATTACGCAAACGTCCATCAGCCCTGGCGTGCTCCGGTTGCATGCACGACTTACGTTCGGGAGTCGGCGGATCTTCCAGGCGGCGTTTGCCTAGCGCCTTTTCGCTTGGTTTCATTGGCGTATAAACTTCCTCGCTAGAGCTGGAATCTCCATCGTAGACCGACTGTCCTTGAACGTCCAACCTTCCCAGCCCATTCGGAGGGCCGCTCAAGGAGGAGCTCGTCCTGGAGTGCGTATGGGAGTCCACCGACGGGCGTTCCAGCGAGGGACTTCGCGAGCGCGCAGGACGATGCATTGGGGAGCGGGGACCGTGACGCGGACCGTGTGGTGGTGCCAGTGTATGAGGGTAGGTGAAAGGCATGGAGGGTGACGTATTGCCGTGTACTTGCGCCGGAGCCCTGTTCGTGTTCGCATTTGCGACAGGTATGGGAGGCAAGGGGTGCGCATGAGAGGGTATGACAGGGGGAATGGTCGACGAGAATGCTGGTGAAGAGCTGAGGGAAGGGGAAGGGCTACGAGAAGAGCCCGCACCGGTGCTTGATGGTGGAGCGAGACCGTAACCGTTAACTTGCTGCTCGCGGTGTAATTGCTACGGAAGAAATGAGCCAAAGCCACGCGAGAACACCAAGGTAGCTCACCGCGCGATCCATACGGAAGTCGTATCGGCTCCGTTCCTCAGCATCCCTTTCTTGACCTAGCCGGACGAGATCATCATAAACCCTCAGCACAGCCAAAAGTTCTTCGTTAACGAAGAGAAGCTCTGCAAGGAGTTCTTCTTCCCTGGTAATCGACGTCTGCTGTCCGTCGGCTGTGGATTGACGCTCGTAACCGTCGGCTACTTGCCCTCGATTGCTACGCGAGCGCTCCGCTGTGGCCGTGGCCCACGGGATTTGCGCAAAGATGAACTCTTGAGAAGCGGTGCACTTATGGTGAAACTCCTACATATTCGATGTTATAACGGCACTCCAATGTGGAATGGATATAACTCACCTTGATGACGTCCTTCTCTTTCAGGTCTTCCGGCTTGGCGAATGCCAACGCTTCAGATAGGAGAGCGGCATTACCTCTTCCAACCTTGCATTCTTGGAACAAACGTCGGATATCCTCGTCAGGAGGTATAATTCTGTTGCGGGGCTTGTGACCTTGAACTGGCTTGGTTTGGTTGTTCTGTATAGAATGGTGAGGTATCATCACACAACTTCATGAATGAGCGTACTACGGATGGTCGGTCTGCATTCGGTTGATATGGTTCTAGGGTGTAATCGTGAGGCGGGTGTGATGGAGGTTGCACGAATGACGACGGGCGGCGAGGAGTGGGTGGATTGAACATCGCATCATCAGTGTCAAAAGGTATGCCCTACGTTTTCATGATGAGGTTTCTTATGAATCATCGGTTTATACAATGCATACCTGTTCAGGTTTATCTGCAGGTCGGACTCTGCGCCAGAGACTTCGGAAGTCATCCTTCTCGCTCCAGAAACCGACGGGATGTTCTGCCCATGAGAGTTGTACGTTAGCATATATGCATGGATCAGACTGAGTTACATCAACATACCCTTGACTTGATTGTCAAGTTCTTGGGAACACATCCACGCCGCTCCTGCGAGAACGTCCATCAAGCGCTCACGCACGACTGGATTTGTGCGGGGAGATGTCAAAACATCTTCCAAGGTATCAAGGAATTTCCGAGACGAGCAATGAGCCAAGAACGTTGGAGATGAATTGCGAAGCATGATTGCAAGAAGCTGAGCGAGGTAATGAGCCCTTGTAACTCTAATAATATACGATGTTCTTACTCTGGCAGCAGATAGTTGCGCTGGAGGTTCAGCATACCTGGGAAGCTATTTAGGCGCTGATGCAATGATCGGGTGGCCACCTATACTCACTTGAACTCCTTCCGCAACGCTCTTATAGCTTCCCTCGCATTGTCCGGTGTGCTGGAGGCACGTTCGCAAACCTCGAGCACCAAAGACCAGTCCTCCGAGGCGGTCGCCGTAAGCCAGCCTGTGCAAGCTTGTGAGTGGGTGTTCGGGACGAGGGTGGTAGGCCACTGACCGATCATCCTTGTGAGGTCGGCCGGGTGATCTTCCTGATGTGCCGACCTCTCTCGTTCCTGCCGTTCCATCTCTTTCCGTTTCTCTCTCTCCTCCCTTTCACGCTCGCGTTCCTTGGCTCTCTGCCTTTCCTTTTCTCTCTCTCGCTGCAGTGCCTTCTCTCTCTCCTTCTGCAATGACCGCTCCTGCTCCTTTTCCCTCTCCTTTTCCTGTGCCAATTCCTTGGCTTTCGCCTTGTCTTCCTTAGTTCCCCTCTCCCAAAACCTCTTCTTCTCCTTCTCCTTTTCTTTATCCTTGCCGTTCATGACCACCGCCGTTCCCTGATACACCTCTGGATGCTCACTCGGCGCGTACTGGCTACCTCCTCCATACGTGCTCCCGTAGCCATTTGAGTTAGGGGATAACCCGCGGCTTGGCGATTGAGACGAGGGGCCTAGTGCTGCGAGAAGGCCCACGGCTCTGCGCCCGCTGCCGGGATTTGGTGCCCTCCTGCGAACCTCTTCTTCCTGTATCCTCCGTGCCTCCTCCTCGAGTAACCGCTTCTCCTCTTTTCTGCGGAGACGCTCTTCCTGTTTCGAAGTCGACGCGGCGCTGAAGGCGGATGGTGAGGGTGATCGCGGATGAGCCGCGCTGGGCGAGTTGGGATGCGAATTTGAATGCGAACCGGGCGCATAGTAAGCCGAGGGCGGTACCGGCGAGCCCAAAGAAGACGACCGAGATTCCGTATGCGCCAGCGGGGGCGGCCGCGCAGCGTTCGGGGACGGCTGGTGGTGGGTGGGTAGCATCTCCCAATCCCCTGCCGGTTGCGCATGCGACTGAGCGAGCTCGTCCACAGAGGTCCGTCCCGCCGGCTGGGGGCGCTCGAGCGTCCGTGGATGATTGCTCCGGGCCTGGTGCTGGGTGTAGATGGGGTGCGGGTCTTGGTCGATCTGGGTGAGAGCAGTATGTGAGTATGAGAGCGGCAAGGAGGCGACAGTGACGCTAACGACGTACGGATGTGGCCAGAACGTGCTCCCTGCTCATGGAGGTCACCTTCGCCATCTTGGGCTTGTCCCGCCCGAACAGTTTCTTCATGGTGGCCGTCGTTCACCCTCTCTCGTTGGCATAAGGCAGAGATCTAAGAGGGGCGGTGATGCATCACGTGACGTTACGCATCGCCACCCTTCACGACCGCTTCCGGGGCCGGCAAATAAACGCCCCGGACTACCGACCCCGCACAGAGCAAACGGCCCTGTTCCCCACCACATCCTCGTCGCCGTCCTTGGACAAAATAATCATGAACCTTGTCGCAATGCAGCGTAGCTACCGCTGAACGTGGACTCTGCTAGAGAGCTTACCTGCAAATTTAGTGCCATCAGCTCAGCTTTGATTCTGTCGCCGGCAACGCCAATCACTCGCGCCCAACATCGACGACCCTGCGCATCGCCATATATCTATGAGCTCGCCAACGCATTACGCGCATATGTATAGATTTTAAGGAAGGAGTTTTTCCTGCAGCGCAGTGTTCTATCAAACAGCATGATACTTCCGCTCCCTCTCGCGTGGAATTACCCGCCCCGCACAGTCAATCCCGCGCTCCTTCTCATATAGCCAATCATCCACATCGACTCACGTCCCTCAGAGACGTAAGTGATCTTCAGTTTCGCGAAGCCGCACTAATAATCCAACAGGAGCCCGTGGGCGACTCCTGAGTTGATCAGGGTTTGATCAGGTAGGTAGGTAGGTATATTTCCGGCGCGGTCCCAATAGCGGAACAACCGGTTGCCGCACCGCACGTCAATACGCGCGGCTTGGCGCACACAGTGCATCCACGGCCCCCGTGAGCTGCTATACAGCCGACACAGGGTTGACGTTGAATCGTTGATCATTGGCCGGGCGATCGGTTTAATTTGCTATGCGTTGCCCTCCGGCGGCTATCAGAACTCTCGCTGTCTCTTATCCAACTTGCTTGACCTTGCTCTCACCTGCACGAGCTTCTACGGTGATCATATGAAGTGTCTCCACTACTGAATTGCTAAGTAGGCACACGGAATTGAAGTTGTCCCAATCATCTGAGGCTGGTGCAATACAAAACAAGGCATCGCTCGCCACTTCGAGGCTTCTATTAAATTCCGACATTACCCATTCGCTCTACCTGACGAGCTCCTGCGTTTTTACAACTTAAAAGCGGTCATTGGTATGACCAGAGTAAACTGGCCGCACAGCGGTTGCTCCAAACCCCCAGCCTTCGATATGAATATTGGCTATCGGTTCTGAATTATCCTTGGTTGCCGGCTGCTGCCAGCAGTGTAGGCTGTAGCAGCGCTCTCGGGAGCCCGTCCATATATGGACACTTACGAGACAATTTAGGATGGATATCACGGGACGTCTCGAGCTCGAGGACCGGGGCACTCAATACCAATATTTCATTTCCATCTCGACCGAAGCCAGCGTATCCTGTCCCTCTCGCTTCGACTTCGGTCTTACCTTACGCTCTAGCACTAGATGTCCAAAGCAAAAACCAACAAGGGGAAGAAAGCCGGAGGAGACGTCGAGGCTGACGATGTCAAGTTCTCACAACGTACTGTCAGCAGCGGCGACGAGTCCGGGTTCGTTCTGCACACTTCCTCTGGCAACTGCGCATATATGCACTCGTTCCCATTCCCTACGGTCGTCATTGATATAATTGACCTGAACACAGACTCACTAATATGACAGAGCTGTAGCAGCTGTCGCGAAGCAAATGCAAGGCACGCATTCTTCGTTCCTTTCTTTAGTGTCAAGACTGAGCAATTCCCAATAGTGCATTGGAACAAGAAGAAGAAGGACAAGGAGGCTCGGTTCATTGAGCTCCTCGAGCAAGAACTTCGTACAACAGTGAGTGTGTCAATCGAGCATATGGTGGACCGGTCTTTACCTGACGGTTTAGTTGAAACTCGGTGTTGAAGAGTACTCGGAGTCTGTCGCCGAACTGTAAGGGAATTTGCTAGCGTGCTGTACCGTTGTGAAGCACGGGTTAACGAAATGCCAAAAAGAGATGGCATATATGCGAATTTTCTTCGCGACTACGCCACAGCGAACGACAACATCCGTGATCTCTGGTCGCAAATTATCGATCGGCAGTCCAAGCTGAAGGTAGTCCAATGGCGCCCCGCTACGTGTTATCGCTGACGGCGGCGCTAGGACCTTGTAGTGACTATCGAAAAAGCGCATGTACCCCGAGAAAAGCGACGCGAGGAACGTCACGTTCAAGGCATGCTCCTGGCGAGACGCGCATGCAAAGGCAAGCGACGCTGATGTGGCATGTATGACGATAGAACTGAAGGAAGTTCGTCTAGATTATGAGCAAATCGCCGCGACCGTTAGCCAGTCCACCTAATGATCGATGACACGCCCATGAAGATGCGTCTTGGTAGCTTGTCCTGCCGTTGTCAACTCAGGCCTCACATGTGCTCAGGAACCAATCAATCCATTGAAGCCATCCCTGATAATTCATACGGTAACAAAAGACTAGGTCAAGTCAATAATATCGGTGTTGCTGTGTGTTCGAGATAGTTTCCCTCTAGCAGGCTGTGAGGAGACAGACGCTTGTGATGCAGCAAAGCTAGCCTCTCTGGCGATCTTAGCTCGTACACGCGATTTCGCAGCCAGAAGTGGAGGCACGCGGTCTTGCGATCCTGAACTGCGTGTTCGTTGTGTTTCGTTGACGGAGCTAGGGGCACGCTCCCCGTCACTAGAGGATATTTCAATCACATCTTCACGAGACTTCGACGGCAGTGAAGGCCGAATGTTCGAAGACAGCGGAGAGTGTGACCTGGTCTTCCCTCCAACAAGGCCTGAGGAGCCTGCAGGGATCATTTGAGGGGAGGTCCGAGAGTTGGAAATCGTCGACTCCGCCGCACTATTTTGTCGGCGAGAAGTCGCGTTGATTCGAGAGTCCAAGGTCTTTCCCGAATGGCTGTTGCCATCCTCTTCAGGATCCTCGGAGTTGCTAGATAATTCCATATACTCGGTTGTCTGTCTCTGTGATGTCATCCGACTGGGCTGAGTAGTTCATCAGTAAAAAGAAATAGGTAACCCTGTAAAGCGACCAACCTTGTCAGGCTGAGCGAGAACACCTTTCAATGTTCTCTGCGATCCTCGTGATCCACCCAAGGTTGTGAGCCAATCTATATCGGAGCTTTGCGCTCTTGTTTGCGCTCTTGCCTTGGATGGCCCTGCGGCGGGAACGGGAAAGAGGTCACGCAGCAGTTGTTTCTTCATAAGTGGATCCGTCGCGGTGATGTGCTTATCTAAGCTCTGCAGTATTCCGGTCGTGTCCAGATCTGACCCCTCATCTTCTGAGAATTTAGGAGGCGTTGGACGCCGGGCTACGCTCCGCGTGTCATCGGTTTGTGGCTTTCGTACCCGCTTCGAAGACGGTCCGGCGTCTTTCGACGTGGACGCCCCCTTGACCTTGCCTTTCTTCTTTTCATCTTTGCGTCTCGCGGTTTCCTCCCATTCTGCCACAAGGCCAGGCTCGGCAAGCCGTACCATACACTCAGGTATCCATACCCGGAAAGGGCTGTCCGGATGGGCGGGAGGTTTCTTGGTCTTATTTTTGCCCTTCGACGTGTCGTCCTCGTCGTCCTGTATATAGCATCAGCCTCAAGTCAAGTCGATGCGAAGCTAGCTGTGGCCTGACTTCATCTTCATCCTCGGTTACCGCGTTGTCCAAAGGCGGTCTGATACCCTTGACTCCGGCTCTTGCCATACGCACCAGCTGAGCGGGTGCAACCTCTAAGCGATATTCTAGCACTTTATCTGTGCTTGCGTGTGTTCGCGAGGAATGAATCTTAATGATAAGTCGGTGGTCATCGCGCTCATCCTCGCTGTCAGATGGGTCTTCTGACCCCGAAAGAGAGGGATGAGTTTGAAGCTTCGAGTGCGACCTAGAGGGTGGCTCTGGCATATACGTAGCTTGAGGATCAAATATGCACGAACCGACTGGAGGACTCTTGAGACGAGAAATACTTCGTGATCATCCGTGACGGAGTACCCGGTGGGGGACGACCCGTTGTCCCTTTCTTCTTCGGGGTGCTGGGGATGAACTGTTCCTCGTCGCAGTCATGCTGTGCAACGCGACCGCGCCGTCGTTTCTGGTTGTCGAGGACCGCCCGTCTGATGATCCTCTGGACTGCGCTCGGCCACAACACGGTTCTGTATCAGGTTGATGTCAGCTCCGGTCATGAGGTAGTTCGCGGAACGTGAAAAGAAAGAACAGATTGCATGGGTTATTGCACTGACCGAAACCTCTTGATTATGATGTCTTGTACACCCCATTCGAAGTACAGTTCACAGATGCCGGCGATTCTGCCAATGTCAGGCTCTCGCGAGAAAGTGAGGGGTGAGGGTACCTTCCCTGTTGCGGATGTCAAGGTGAAATGACACTACGGACACCCATAATAAGGGTAACTCACCGCACGTTTCGCTAGTGACAGGGTGCGTGTAGTTGAGCAAAACGTCGACGTCCGGGAATTTCGACGTGATGAGCTTCGCGACGGACGGTTTCTTCGACTTCATGCGACCCGACTACGGCAGTATTAGCTCGCATAGGGTACGAACACGTAAGACTGACTTTGTTGGTCGTGAGTTCTTCACGCAAGCCTACTCTCCACTGCTCAAGCATGTCGTCCAGATTTCGTCTTGCCTCCTCTTCGCCTACCGAAAAATGAGGGGACTCGCAATTCATCCTCCTTGATCGTGATCGTGAAACTCACCGTAACGCTCACGGTCTTCAACGTAGGCATCAGCTGCAGCCATTAAAGACTCGCCGAAACCGGCCTTTGCCAAAGCGTGAGCGACGCCTGGTCCACATCCCTGTACGCCGCCTTGATCATAATCCCCGCCCGAGAGTAGGCCAATCAAAATCATTCCGGGCCGAGTGAGCTGGAAAGGCCCCATAATGTGAGAAAAACGTTGCTAAAGGGAGATAGCAATATGTGCGCCATTTACCTGTATATCCGGATGTTCGGATATGGCCTTCGCTGTGAACACCCGAGAATGCCACCCATCATCCCTTCCATCTGCATTCTTGACGGAATGGGATCGGTTTCCCGACAAGGTTGCGGAGGGACTGCGGGAAATTCCGTGTTCAGCATTCTGAGACGTGAATGAAGGACCAAGGGAGACTTGCTTTCTGATAACCGTGGTGGCTCCGAAGAGGAAGTTGTCCACGTCGTCGGAGAGGATCGCATCGATTATTCCAACTCGACTGAGGTAAGCCAATTCAGCCTCTGCTTCTCCAGGAGCCTGACGATGTTCGATGCGGAGCTAATCAACGATACCGATGCGTACTCACAGTCCTCCACTCAAAACCGAAGGCTTCAATTATATTCTTCATACCTTTGACCATCCAGTGTTCCTTCCCCCCGATCCTTTTGCCGCGCTTGACCTTCGGCCGTTGCGGACCGTCGAAGACAAAGACCGGCAGGAATGGGACGGTCATAAGCTTGCAGCAGCGGAAGAACAGGGTACGAAGCTCCGGGTTTTCGCCCTCCCTTCCATATGCAGCATGGAAGAACCAGATGGATGCGTCGATCCCTATCCGTAGGCCGCGAGCATCCGGATTGGCGAGGAAACCGTCGACCACAGCAAGATGGGTCAGAGAACGCAGTGTCCCTGCAGGACTCAGTATCTTTGACCGGGAAGTCAGTGATGCGTCATCAGACGAGTCCAAGCCACTCACATCCCAGAGGCCGGCGACTCCCATGCTACAGACGCTACAGACGATGCGAAGCTGCGAAAGCCTGCGCGAACTGGAACGCTGCAGCGCGCCCCTGAGTCGCGTCTCACTTAGCACGTGCTCGTCTCGTGACCGCTTCGATTCAGAATTCTTTTCCTTTCCCACATTATTCAATCTCGATGTGAGAAGTCGCTGCTGTGGTGAGATACACGATTGTTTTACAGTGTTACTTATACATTTATCCTATCAGTAAAACGCAGAGAAGTCCCGGTACATTTCTTCCCGTAGCAATCCTTCCTGAGGTTCCACTTCCGGCTCTGGTGGAGTTGGATCCGGTAATTGGTTTCTGAACCTTTTGATAGCATCGAGACGAGACCTCCAATTCGTCTGCACCTCCACCCGATCTTTATCGAAGTTTGTGTCCTTGAAAACAGAGGCAAACCAGTCCCCTAGTAGGCAGATCTGCCGAACCATCAGGGGAAGGCTGTCGGCCGAGATCAGCTTGAAGTCCCCGACAGGCGAAAATTCCGGCATGCCGTCCGCTCGTTGGACCTTCAGCTTGAAGTACTCCATCTCGTGCAAATTGTTAGAGTATGCAGCGATAGGGCCCCAAGAGTGCGGTTCGATTACAATGTTCACGAACTGGAACTGGGTTGCGAGCGTGTCGAACTTGTACTCCATGCCTGAATCGTTCCAGACGATGCGGATGTTGTCGTTGCCAATGTGGGCTTTCTTCTCGTTGCAATCAGGGTCGTCAAGGTGTGTCGGCATGAGCGTAGCGGTATGGAACAGAATTTGCCCAATGTCGTCCCACCAGGCGTAGGCATATTCACCATGGCGGTCCGGGTCTAGGTTCCCGGCGTATACGTCCATTTGGCCTCGCAGGTTGATCAGCCGCCCTAAGCCTTCCAGGAAACGGGTGTACGCAGGAGAGCCATGTGTGTTGCGCAGTATCTCCGTTTCGTGCGTCTGGCCTGGCGCGACGTACATGATGCCTACTTTGTGCGTGTCAATGACGGGCATGCGTTCCAACGTGCGCACAAGCCGCCCTAATGCAACCTCATCCCGGACGATGGTGCCTCGGTGAACGCCGTTTATGGCAGGATATGGGGATAGCTGTAGAGGGAAGAACGAGGGATCGATGGCAACGTCTTTTCTACGCTGGGAGGGAGCACTACCCCTCCAGACGTATCCTGTCACGGAATCAGGAGGCGGCGGCGTTGGATCATTGTCGTCTTCATTTGATCCACGGAGCACGGGAGCGACCTGTCCCATATGTGAGATGGATTCATGGTATATGTCCTATGTCATAACTCACTTCATGAGGCATTGAATCGCCTGTTTCCTCCTGACCAGGTGCGGCAGGAGGACGGAGATCTCTGTTCGCCATGAAGGCTGCCGGCAGAGAAATCATATCCGGATCAACGTCCCCGGGTCCAACCATCGGCACGTTCGCCGTCCTGCAGAGGAACTTGGTAAAGCCTGAAGGACGACGAGCCTCCACCGCGATCCAACCCCTTCTGGGCAATGCTCGAATGGTGATGATGGTGTAACCGAGTAACCACGACTTCTCGGGTAAACTGCGCTCTCCTGTCCTCTCGGGTTTCATGACAATGTCGTCGAGCACGGAACTTGCTGGGCGGGGATCAGCGCTCGCGTATGTATAACGAGCAAGCCAATCAAAGGCGACCTCGGTGGATGGATCAATCTCCGTGTTGCCTTCGTTTGCGAGAAGAAGCTGGCGCGTAATGAAACGAATGTGGTGTGGCCTGTCTGGCAGGCTGACGTTCAGGAACCAGAGGTAAACAAGATAATATGACATGATCCGTAAATGCTGGGCTAGGGCCCAAGAGATCGTAAGGGCAGTGTCGGCCTTCGGGTTATGAGTCTGGAGATACTGTAGCGCCACTCCGAAAACGAGGCGGAAATCGTCCTGGGTTAGATTAGCGTGCAATTTGGGGAGGGAGCCTACAATGGATAGGAAATTGATGATATGAACGGCCATCTCGGGATTAGACATGATTTGAGATAATTTTTCGAATATTTGCGTGAGGTATCTTGTCATACTTGACGTAAACTCGAAGGCTGCCAGGGATAGGGCGTGAAGGCAACACTTGATGGTCGCCATCTGGCCTGTGACTGTCAGTCCTTCCTGCAGGACTTCGACCAGCATATGTTGTTGCTTTATGGTGAAACATCGCCGGTACGAGATCAGGATGGATAACGTGTGGTATGCGAGCCCCTGGGCGTCTCCAGCCTTGAGGCCAGGTGGCCAGGACTCCACCGCTGTTCCAAGAGTTCGTTGCGAGAGGCCCCTGCACAGCGCGTTGAGGATATCGGATATAACGCCGCGAGATCTTGGACCGCAGAACAGATGCTTGTTGCCGAGCTGGACCGGAAAGTGGCAGAGAACGTACGACAGTATCTCCCAGTCCTTCTCGTTTTCGATAATGGTCAACAAGACTGAGAGGTACTTGGACGTCGGGAGCAGTGCCCGCATTTCTGGACCGTCCGGATCGTAGGCACTGAGCTTCTCGCTCGCCGTGTCCATATCCGTGATCGAGAACGGGGGTGACTCCGGATACATCCAAAGGGGTTCTCTGGGCTTCGGAGGCAACCTTGGTGCAGGCAGCGGATGCGTAGATGCTCTAGAGCGACTACGACTGCCTGTTGAGACCGAACTTGGTTGCGTCCCACGCCCACGCGAAGCCCTTCGGTCTTCCCTGTTCGCCACGCGAGCACGCGCTGGACGGCTATCCGCTTCGTCCTTTGACGTTGAAGTTGTCACTTCGGCAATTTCTGACGGTGTGCGCGCTGTGCGCCCAATGAAGCCGGCGAGAGTCCGGATGTGACCATCCTTGTCATAACGGCGCTTCACGTAGTATAAGCGGTGATCACGATCCGCGCGAAGCCGCATCAAGAACTGCAGGACGGCGATCCTCGCCGAAGAGCATCCAGTTCCGTTCTTCAGGACGTCCAAGAGGATATTGTAAACCCTGACGGCCATCTTCAGGTTTTGATCCGAGAGAACGTGTGGGGTGAAGGCCAGCTGACTGAAAACGGACACCAAGGCCGCCACAGCCAGAACTGATCGAGGTAAAATTGGCGGAGGCGTGGGCGGCGTCAGCGGTTCGTCGACCGACTGTGAGGGTGCGGCAGAGGGCGGGACGTTGGGGGGATTAACGAACGACGAGATGCGAGACATAACCAGCGCCATTGACTGCGCTGGTTGATATTCACTTGGTGAGCGGGTCGGGATCGGGCTCGACACGCTGGTGGGCAAGGTGGTTGGAAAGACTTCAGCAGGAGGCCTTCCGGGCTCGGACGCGAAGGCAACGATAACCTGCAAGAATTCCTCGCCGTCGGGAAGCGATTCCGCTTCTTCATCTGCCTCCGATTTCTCTACAGTCCTGCGTACAACGACGTCTGCCATTATACACCAGACCATGCCACCGTCATCGTCGCTGGCGTCCTCACGATGCAGGTACTCGGTCCAGAATTGAAGAATGACGTCCGCCAGAGGCCGCCTGTAGATCGAGATATCTTTCACCGCTGCATATACCGCATGGAGCGTCTTCATCACCTCCGCCCGTGTCAACGAACGATCTGAGCCATACAGAGTGGACTTGCTTAAGAGCATACCCCAGTTCTCGAGCCAGTCGATGGAGGTGGGTGACAACATTTGATTCGCAAGCATGAGCGACGGCAGCTTGGATGTATCCTCGTCCGAAAGATGTTCGGCGATGGACAACATGATCACGAAAAGCGGGGGATTCAGCGTGATAGTAGCCGGATCACAGGCTAGAATCGAGCACAGCGTGCGGAGGAATGCCGTCGGTGCAAGCCTTGGTTGTGCAAGAGGAAGCGTAACTGGAGAAGCTTCTTCTAGCCTATCTATTCATCAGTTTCGTATCGTCGCGACTAACAGAACATACATACCGCATTCGAGGTACAGCGAGAACAAGGCTCTGCAGGAGCATTGCCAACGTCCTGGATTCCTCCTCATCAAGCGCTTCATCGTCCTGTCTCTGCTCGTGCTCCGAGAATGCGTCTTTGACGATCCCAGCTACTTCGTCCAGAATGGGGTCCAACTCGCGCACATCAATTCCGGAGTTGATCCATGCCTCGGTCGCGGAGCAGAGCACACCACTCCATTTCTCAGGATCCCATGTGAACGGGGATTCTTCTTCGATCGGGGCAGATAAAGCCGGCTCCAAACCATCAGAATAGTATCCCGCTCCCTGCAACTGGTAGGAGCGGGTCAGACGGTTCAACAAGTGTTGACGTACGTGGACCCGTACGGTCCTGAATGCACCCAGGGAGATCTGAATAGCCTCATGTATATCTGCATTCGGGTCTGATGGTGGATGCAACTGTTGCTTGAGCGCTTGGAAGAACGCAAAATAATGTCTACCGGAGAACATGGCGTCCAAAATTTCCGTTATCCTGCGCTCCAGAGTGGAAGGCGGCTGACGCTGACTTGCAGCTGACGACAACGTCGGAAGAGGCGACGCATAGTGGGCCAATGCACGGAAGAGAGTCGGTAGCACGGCATCGAATGGGATGGCCGATAATTCTTCAAGCTTCGGCCTGAGGATGGTGAGATACATCTGGATTGCGAAGTCTACCGCGGTCTTCGCGACGTTGCCCGAAGGAAGAGGTGCAGGGGAGACCGAAGAGGCCGCAGTCAGAAGCGATGTGGAGGAAGGGTGACGTCGGTGGCCGAAGGATGGACGGACAGGTGTGCTACTAGAAGACGTGGGATCGGGAGTAGGCGAGGATAATGAGACGGTGGAGGAGAAGTGGCTATCGTCCTGAACACTGAGGGCCTGCTGGATGAGTTGTTCGAAGAACGAAAGGAGGTGGCGCGTATCCTCCTCGCTGATACGAGACGCAAATGTTGTTCGTGACGAAAGTCCGGAAAGAAAGTCAGCGATGTCGTTCAAACTGTGCTGACGTTCGTGGATGTCCGCTCCCGTAGGGTTTTCCAGAAGGCCATCAAATGCCCCTTGTAACCAACCCGTGAGCAAGCGTACGATGTGCGTCTCGGCTCCAGTGGTTGACGAATCTGCCCTTGTGAGCGCAGACAACGCCCTTAGTCGAGGAGCCCACAGCTCTTCCGACCAGTCCGGCTTGATGTCAAGGAGCACTAGATGCGTCCACCAGTCAGACGTAGTCAAAGACGAGCTGCCGCTGTTCGTCCAATACGCGGCTAGAATGTCGAACCCTGCTACTTGGAACGCGGCGGGTGATTCGATCGCACAAAGTCCGCCGAGGACAGGGTTCAACGTGGCTGGCCGAGGCATGGGCGTGTGCGTAGGGAGCAGCTCCGCCAGAGATCGAGCATAGGGAAGCGATGCGACATGAGGTGGTGTAAGCTCCTCGATCAATTCCTCGACTGTCAGGGCGGCGGACGGCGGAGGTGCATACGGCGTCGATACCGGTTCTGCGGGCCTGCCCTTTCGCCAGTTGCTGAGGGTGTGAAGAATAGGATTCGACGCGACGGATGTCTGCGCTCTTGGTCTTTGTCTGATGTTATCTGTATCTTGCAATGAAGGCATTCGATGCTATACGAGTTGAACGATCGTCTGTGCTGCCGCGCAACCTCCGGTCAGGGGTCAAAGGAGGAGAACAAGAAGAGCGAATGCTTACCCCAGTGTCCCAATCGCATTTATCTCAAGCGTCCAGCACCGTCCCGACAGTGTGCTCAGCGCAGCAGTGGCAACAATACTCGAGGTAGTAGGCTGAAAGACGCGCGACTGACACGAGAGTACGACGCGGTGCATACTACATGGGCGCCTATTTACATACTCTCAGCACCAACTCAAGATAACGCCGCCCCCACAGAACTAGGCCCGAAATTAACGATCGAATGCTATTAATGATCGAATGCTATTTGCGCAATCGGATCTTCGGTTCTCCAGACCTCCGACCACTGTTGCACTTCCCCGAGAAGATTGCATATTTACACACGACAGCGCTCAGTTTACGTTCACAAGAATTCATGTACTGTTATCGCAGGGGAGCTGCTGTGATCTACAGTATCAGCTGGCAGCCTCGGTTTGAGCAGGGACAGGCGAGGCCGAACGCCACGGCAGGTGACACCGAGGCGCTCGCCTTACTCATTCCCATGATGACTGAACGCATTACGCGTCCAGTTTCGATCCTCCCTTCGACCAGCAGTCTTCCTGAATGGCAAACGACACATCAAACGGATCGTTGAAGTTCACCGTTTCTCATCGAGGACAGACCTACAGCATCACAGAATCTCCAGAAACAACGTTGACGTCCCTCCAAGCACGCCTCGAGGAACTGACGTCAGTCCCTCCTCCTCAACAGAAGCTACTATACAAGTAAGTCGTCGTGCTGTTGCGTGTTCCACCACCCACTCACAGAGAACATCGTGCATCAGGGGCAAGAAAGCTTCATCCGCTTCCCCTTCCGAAGTGACGTTGTCGGCCGCGGGCATCAAAGATGGCACGAGGATTCAAATGCTCGGGTCGACCGCAGACGAGATCGGCGGCCTCCATGCGGTAGAGAATGAACAGAGGAGGAAGGATAAGATTATGCGCGAGCGTGCGTTGAAGGCACCCGCAAAGGTCTGGCCATCGGATGCACCTCTTCTACGTACCCGTACTGACATTCCTCAGGTTCGCTCGACTGGATCGGCCTCCAGCTCCTCCCTCCAGTACCGCTTCCACCGACTCGAACCGCTCCAGCACCTTCCCAAACCCGCGGAAGCGCTCTCGCTGCTGACTCGGCTGTCGACGGATCCAGCGATCCAACATATCATGCAGAAGCACCATTTCAGCGTTGGGCTCCTGACCGAACTCGCACCGCACGAACAACCACATCTCCTGGGCCTCAACGTCAATGCCGGTCAAGCCATCAAGCTGCGGTTACGGACCGACAGATACGATGGGTTCAGGACGTATAATGAGGTGCGGCGTGTGCTTTGCCACGAGCTCACGCACAACGTATGGGGCGATCATGACGATAATGTACGTCCGCCCATCTACGTGCGCGCGAAGCATGTTCTCATGGTCTTCCATAGTTCAAAGAGTTGAATTCCAAGCTGAATCGCGAAGTGGCAGAATTCGAACAGTGAGTGGTGTATGCAGCATGAAGTGCACACGTATACTCATAGGTCCATTCTAGAGATCGACGAGACGGAACACATACTCTTTCAGGCATCACCGACGCATTCCAGCCTTCTTCCGAGCTTGAAGCAGAGGCTCAAACCTACGTCCTCGGTGGTGCTAGCTCAAGCGTACCTACACTTCATGAATCCCCGGAAGACCGCCGTCAACGCATCCTCAACGCGACGATGGCCCGTCTCCACAAAGAGGACGAAGAGTTAGAGCAAAGCTGCGGCACCGCCGGTCCGGCTTCTCATTCGTGATGACCTTCCCAACCCACACATCCTATCGTACTCATTTTTTTTTCACCGGACTCAGGGACTGTTGTAGCATACAATTCCCGGAGCAGCTACTGTAGTGCATTAATAATACAGGTGCAAAGCTAAAATCCAAATCATTGCAATCGACAAACAATCAAAAGCTATATCGAATCTTAACGGCGGCTCGGCATCCGCACCCCGAACGTGCCCTGCGTCGTGGTGGAGGATGCGATCGACTGGATCTGACTGTTCCGCGACGCGCCGGACACGACCGACGAGATCCAACTGTTCGTCCTCGATCCGCCGCGCGAGCTGCCGCCCTCGTGGCTGAACTTGGCGAACGAGTTCGGCGGCCGGTTCGGGCGCTGTTCGTGGTGGAACTGGCCCGCGAGCGGGGTCGGCAAGGGCGCCGGTTTAGCGTCGACCCCGACGTCGTCGCCTTGTGCCGTCGGGACTGCGATAGCAGGAGTATCTTCGGCACGCGGCTCGGAGATGGTTGCAAGGAGCGTGGCGCTCGGGCTTCTCTTGGGAGGGGAGAGCGAGGTGGGGGTCACGGTACGAGCGGGAGAGAGCGAGTTGGGCGACGTGGCAGGAGCGTACCCGGTAATGGTCGCTTCCGAATCCATGGAGGACGGCGAGTCGGTTCTTATCCGGGCGCCGATGTAAGCCGGCGGCGGCGCAGTCACTTTGGACTGCTCGGTCTCGATCAGCAGCAACGGTTTCTCCTGTTTCTGGATGCCGAGTCTCTCGAGATAGATGCTGCCAGAGTCCGAGTAAAGGTCTGGATCCTTCGCTTCCAGGTCACGTTTCTGATAAGAATCCGGAGTGAAGTCATCCTTTTCGAGTATAGCCCGCACGCGCACTGAGGGTCCCAAGAAAGAGGCAGGTGAGCAGGGTGCGTGTTGAAATGGAAGAGCATACGTACGGTAATGCCCCAGTCCTTTATCGAAGTTCCATCGGCACCAGATCCCGATGATGAACGCAAAGACCAGAAAAGCGAACGCGGTGACGGAAAGGGTGCTGAAGAACGACCACTCGTGGAATATGAATTGCACCATGGGCGTGTGGAGCATTGCAGACCAGATGGCGATAAGGGCCGAGGAGATGACGAAGAACGCGACGCAGGTGTACGCGCACTCGATGCGAGGGAAGACCCAACCCTGCAGACGAGCGGTCAGTGCATACACGAGGCGCGGAGATGAAAGACACGTACGGTGATCACCCACGGCAACTCCAGCTTGTGAACCGATCTCATTAGTTTCCGAGTTGCTATGACAGACGCAGATGCTCACCAAAGCAACAACAAGGAAAGAGGTCTCCGCGGCAGTTGTGTTGTTGACAAGCTGCTTGATGGACTTGAGCTTGGACACGAGCACGCCGGCAGCGGTTACGCCGAAGAAACCGCCTAGATGGATACAAACTGAGAACACCAACATAATCTACAAGGCACATTCAGAGACATGAATCCAGCTGCAAGGGCTATCACGCAATACGCACCTGGTACATCCTAGTAATCCGCGCATTTACAGCGACACGTTCAAACGATTCACGAGTGTACCTCTGCGGTGCAACGTCAGGACATGCAGACTCGGACATGAAAGCTAGAAAGACTGACCCGTGACAGCACCCATGTAACATACGTCATACCGATCAGCACAACGCCGTTCAGGACGCAAATGATGATCTACGCCGCAAGCGTGAGTGACTGTGCGATTCGCCAATGGGAGGTGACGAACCGAATGTGTCAAGCGCGGAGCCCACCAGTCGGCAAGGACGTCTACGCCCCTGCAAGCGCCGTTGGTGATCAACGCGGTGAAACGGTCATCGAAGCGAATAGTGTTGCGTATGCGGAATGCGGACCAAGCCAAGTCCAGTACATAGCTGGCGAAAGCAGCAACGCTACGCGGGAATGCTTAGGCGTGAAGCCATCGCAAACAAGTAATGGAAACGCACAGATGAGGTACAGATTCGGATATGATCTGTCATGTGCATAAGTATCATCGATTAACCTGACTACCGCTTTACTCACCGCCAAGAAGGAGAGAACGAACAACCACGCGTGAAAGCACAGCGTGACAATGTCCTCCTCGATAGATTCGCGCAGCCTGCGGGCATTCATCAGTAGAGCCCCCAGCCACGCGCATTGCACGACGTACACCGCATTCGGCCACACCATCGAGCGAACGCATTGAGGTCCAAGCACTTGTTGCTCGACGGTAAGGCTGCCATCAGAGTGAGTGGAGATGTTGAGATGGTGTCGCCCGAATAGCTGTTCGCGTGTCAGGATCAGCCCACTAGCACGGGAAGCGCACAGTTCGGTTCACGAACACTGCCAGAGTGCGTCTGGGAATTTTCGGCCCAGCTGCCTAACGACTGAAATTCCATTAGGTGGTTCAGGTAACCAAGCCCCCTCGGTTGCTGCCCCGCTCGCGCAATGGGCGTGCAAGTCGTCCCGGACGCGCCAGGGAGTCCGTTGCAAACCTCGAGGATGTTGCCTTGGATGACGGAGATTCCTTGGGGTACGTTGGCGCCGTGCAGCAGGGCGCCGGTAAGACGGTAGCCGTTCACATTCTCGGCCAAGCTGAGGGACTGAAGGGTAAGCTAGAGAGTCCGGGTCAGCCAAATTGTACCGTAGCGATACCTCGTGCGCGTACCTGGGCGATGAAGTGCAGGAGGGCGAATACAAAGTAAACGGTGGTGGTGCGAGTGATTGTGACGCGGGTGGTCTGGTCATAGATACTTTAGTATTGACGGAAACAATGGAGTTGGCCGGACGCGTCTTACTATGTTCTTGCACTTGCGTTGTACAGTCCAGCCCAGCTCGGTCCAAAAGTCGACGCGTCCTCGCATGCTCCGAGCATGAACAGACCGCAGGTTTGAGTAGCAATAGGGATAGAACGAGCGCACGATCCAAGCCGCCAAAGCAATGAACAGAAAGACTGTCGGCGCCGCCGAGGTAAGATATGCACTACTGGGAGGGGGCCGCCAGCGGTAGCAGAAAGGTGAAGGATCGGAGCAAGGACGGACGGTGGTCGGCGCTGGGGCGTGGTGCAGTCTGTCGCAACGGGGCGCACACGACGGTTGTCGAGTGTGGGCCGTTCTCGCGCTTCTTTGTGGAAAGAGCGAGTTGGGTCCGCTTCCTTCGGGCGGCCGGGGCCGTTCCTGGCTGGTCTTGGCCAACCTGGCCATCAGCGCGGGCTTCTCGAGACGCCTGCGGTGTTGGCCGCCGACACAACGGTAACGTGCAGTCGTCCGCGCGAGATTAGATGCTGAGATGACCTCACAGATCGCCGGACGAGATCTTTCATCGCTCCTTTTGTTGCAGTACTACAATCGGCGCAAGCTATATAGCGCGTTGTCAACCAGTACATATCACCCTCGATACAGCGGACGGAGAAACGTTTCGGCCTCCAGTGCTTGTCTATCAACTTCTCCACTGCCGCATGCTCTCACGTACCATGCCCCCGTTTCGACCATCTTCCGCCGGACCGCCTTGTCCGTCACGTTCAGCCGCACGTCGTACTGCTCTATCTCGCAAGCGTTGTTGATAATTTCGCGCCCGTGCAGTATCCACGCCAGCCTGACGACCTCGTCCCGAACGTCTTCGTTTAGCCACCCCGCGCGCCTCGTTTCGGCGCCTTCTCGGTAAGACGCAAATAGAGCACGCGCGAACGTCGCGATACGGTCCGCCAGGGGACTGGCCTCGGGCGCGGCCAACAGCTGTATACGGAGATGGGCAGCTATGTTCTGCGTCGGTATGCGTATCATCAACGGATAGCCGTCGCTCGAACGCACCCAGTTGCGCCATGCCACCCAGAGGTCGCCCTGGGCCCGCAAACTCCCAATCTATAACCGCGCTCCTCTTCCCATCGTTGGACACCATCACACTGCCCGGCCACAGGTCCCCGACCTGGAACACGAGCCGATCCTGAGGAACGCTCAGCGACACGTACGCCTCCCGGATGACCGCCGCCAGCTCGATTGCGTCCTCCACGCCCCACTGCGACAGGTGCTCCTGGATGCTCTCCACGATCTGGCTCGATATCATCTTCTGCGAGTCGGGGCTCTCGAAGCTCCTCGGATCGTCCGCGAGCTCCGCGGTCGTGTGCAGGTGCGCGAAGAACGTGCCAAGCTCGGTGCCCAGCGCCTTGGCAACGTCCTCGGCGGGATGGGTCGCCAGCCAACGGTCCAGCGTCACCATGTCCGTGCCCAAATCTTCGAGCACCAGGACGTGCGCATCCTTATCGAACTCGAGCAGCCGAGAGAATCGAACGTTGCCCGGGGGCGTAAACTTCGTTCCCAGCAGCTCCAGCGCCCTCGACTCGATCACCTGGCGGAACTCGGAGAAGGGGACGGCGGGTCCGAGGGCAGCGACGAAAGGCGGCGCGTACTTCAAGATGAGCGTCTCCCGGGGCGCAAACGCTGACTTCGCTCCCGATGACGATCCTTGCGATGTATGTGTAGCACGCACGACGACGTTGACGAGGCCACCTTCGACGGGCTCAATTTGCCATCGATGTCCCGGATCTTTTCGTTCCAACCACGCAGAGAAATCAAAGAGATCGAACGGGGACATGACGATCGGATACGAAGAGAGTCGTCAAACAGGCAAGTAAGACCGTAAGACGAGGATGAGGTCCCACTGAGCAGCGCCATCATCCCGGGTTCGTCGTGGCCTATTTTTAGATCGCCGCATCGGACCACCGGAATAGCCGAACTGTCTCTCTAGTCTGCCACGAAGTACAGTTCGCGTATATGCATCATATTCTTCGCCTTAGTGATAGTAAGAGTTGACACAGAAGGCGCGCAACGATATCGAGTGCAGATTTCTGGTCATTGTAAGGCGGACTTCACAATCCCCCTCAACTCCTCTTCAGACATCGTCTTAATACCAAGCAGCTCATTGTCCAATTTCTTCAGCAGAGGTTGGAATCCTTCTCCAAACAACGAGCACTTCACCATCCAGATCGCCGCGTCATGGTCGAATATACCCTGCGCGAGCTTCGCGTCCACCTTCGCCTTCAGGTCCACCGCCTTGCTCTCCGTGATCTGCTACTCCTCCCCAGGCGCCAACTCCTTCGCGATGTCGACTATCTGGCTTTGGCTTATGGCCGCGTCGTGGAAGTACACCGTGCGGTTCTTCGTCTCCTCGAGGTGGCGTAGCACGCCCACGACGCCCTTGCCGACAGTCGCGAGGGTAGTCGCGCTCAGCTTCTTCGCCCCGCCCTCGTAGATCTCCACCTTCCGCTCTTTCATCGAGCCCAGCAGGAAGCCGGTGTAGATCCCACAATTGAGGAACGGGCCGCAGTTGACGACGGCGTACGTGAGGCTCGACGTGGCGCTCGCCTTCTCCAGGTACTCCTGCACCTCGACCTTGGACGCGTACACGGGAAGCGCCCGGACCGCGGGCTGCTGAAGGTCGTTGCCGAACTCCGAGGGCAGGAATCGCTGCACGCCCGCGGCGACCGCCGCGTCGATGATCTTCTTCTGCCCGGAAAGAGCGCCGCCGCCGACGGTCGAGACGACCCCGTCGACATCCCTCAGCGCGGCGGTAAGCGATGCGACCGAATCGTAGTCGACCCTGCGAGCGGTGACACCCGCTGGGATGCCGGAGGGAGTATCGGTACGAGAGAGGACGATGACGTCGAACTTCGCTGCAACCAGTTGTTCGACTACGGGAAGACCGAGGGTCGCGCCAGTTCCCTGTGGTAGGAATCTTTCAGTGTAGTTAACATGAAATGCAGGACATCAAGCCTCACCCCTGTGACTGCAACCTTGGACACCATTGCCGAGCACTAACGAGATAGTTTCCGTGAACGTGAATGCTCTCGTCGGTGACCTACGTGTGTTATGAACGATAGAAGGGCCCTTCCTTGCCGCGAAAGTTATACAACGCGTACGCGATCGGGAAGAAACTTCGGGAGCAGCACAAGCTTGACCAAGGAGCGTACGAAGAAGTAGCACGTCGACCGCCCATGCGGGTCCGAGGCGGGTTAGATGATACTGAGCGAGTTGGCGACCCACCTTGAGGTACCCACACAATGTGGGCACGGATAAACAATCATGTACCAATTGCATATGCGATCACCCTGGACCTTGTTATACGATAGCATTCCAAGTAGCAAGGGCGGGGAAGGTATCGGGATGAATGTGCTCGAGATCGACATGCTTGTCGACTGTGCTAAGGTCAGGCTTAACCATAACTCCATCACATCTTGTATCGGTTTTGCGTGTGTCAATTGTCAAAGGACATATAGGGACTTCTTGTGACCATGGACATGTGCATCTAACCGAGAGTCCTTCAAGTCTGTTTCTTCGCCGGACAGAACGATATGAGGGCATATCTGTCGCTCTCATCAGCTCAAATGAAGGATAGACATCGTGAAACGTTCACTTACTTCCCGTTAACACGCCACTTATTCCCCTGCTCTTGGTCGAGCTTGTCAGCCACTTCGCCGTTTACGCCAGCAACAACATCCGCCTTGCTCGTGCGTAAGCTCAGGATGGGGAAGCTACCCGCCAACGGGCCTGCAGGACGATCGATCAGTTAACAAGCGTGCAGACGGCGTCGCTACGAGTTTACCTATGGCAGTCTCCCAGGGCGTGAAGGCAGGCCACCGAACGTCGCCCGTCAACCTAGAGTGAGATGATTATGAGCTTGATCTCTGAGGATCAAAAACGCGTTACCCACTTTCTATAGCTGCTCGTGATCGTCACAATCAGAAATGCCCAGATATGTTTGCACCGCACTCACTGGAGGTCACCCTAAGCATTATTACATCAACATTCATCGTCATATGAGTGGACAAGAACATTTTCACCTTGAATATCACCAGTCCGCTCTCCTTAGCAAGCTCCTCCCAGAGCTCGGTTGCTCGCTCCTTCATATCCCAATAAGCATATGGCTGCGTCCAGAACCCTCCTTTCTTCACGACATCCCCTTCCGTTACGCCCCTAGGACCAAGAGGTGTATCGGCTGGCACAGAGAGCGCAAATTTGCCTTCGTCGATATATCGCTTCCATCTAGAGACCATGGCTTCTACGTGTGCCTTCGACTGCTCGGCCGTTTCACGGTTGGAAGGGGGGAAGAAGGACGGGTCCGACAGAGATTCAATCAAGGCGCGGAAGTCCGGAGGGGTGACATCTGAAACAAACCAGGGGATAAGTTTCGGGCTGTAAGAGTAAAGAGTGAACGTTCACAGAGATCACAGAGAAGACTGGAGAAGACGTACTGGAAGACAACTCGGGAGACGTAAGGCGTGTAGGTAACAAGGAAATCGGCAAAGACGAAGTCTGTGAACAGCTGAAAATAGTCCAGCTGTTGAGCGCACACTAGGGCCACAACGTTCGCAATCGTACCTCGTAGCCCGCTACAAGAATAGGGATCAACACGTGTGGAACATGATCGTCTTCACGAAAACTGTGTACCATTATCAAGTGCAAAATCGACCCTGCCGCCTTTCAAGGTCTTCAGGTGCGCCCAAACCGTGTCTTGGTCGTCGCGCAGGATGAAATCTGTCACAGAGTGCGTGAGCCATCGTTGGTGGCTACGAAAGTGGGCGGACATACCTTTCCTCTTCTCCTGAGCGTCACGTCCCACGGACTGGAGATCTTGGATATCAGCGTGGCTGGGATTTGTCAATAATGATAGATCGGTCGCATTCCCCCTGAGCAGAACGTCAGGGACATGATGGTATGACAACGCCAGAAAAAACCGAACCACAGGCACATCTGAACCATCTCTTTGAACAAGACGCCGAGTTTGTCGGGATCAGACTCGAGGGTATCCTTCTCCTCGCTAACTTCGTGCAGGGTAGTGGCGAGTTCTATGCATAAAGGTTCAAAAGGCATTCGCGCTTCGAGGTATAGTTAATGCGCACGATATATGGCGTCGCCACTGCTCTTGAGCGTATCCATCTTCTGACCGAAGAAGGGGTCGAACGATTGCCAAAACATGGAAGGAGACGTCGTGAACCACGAACGGAGAAGGCGGTATCTGGTCGGAGCTCAGCGAGGATGTCCGATGCTAGAATCGTAGTGAGCGCGTACAAATAACATCTGAGAACAAGATCAGCCTAAATCTTCAACACAATGCAGGACATGCCTCACTCTGCGTAAAGCCAGGGAGCGGTGAACCAAGTATCCTTATTACTCTGGCTGAGTTCGGCAAGTTCCGTGTTATAAAGCTCCACGAAAGGCTCATTGTCGGACGGAATGAGTCTACACAGTATGTTAAGAAGCTGACACGACAGATAGTTTAGGTTACGCACTCCAGTTTGTGATCTCTTGCCATCTGATACTTCAGTTTGCTGATTGTGCCGATGATATCCTTGCTAGCCTGGACGCGGACGTCGAGCTCTGCGCGCTTGTCGTCTGCGATGTCCTGTTGCATCTCCATAGCACAGTCATGATTGAGTCGATGAAGGTGGTCGATTATGCCAGTGAGGATGATTGGCCATCTCTTGTACACGGTTTCGTAGCTGCGCCACGATGGATCAGGACTTCCGTTAAGTGACCATCGTGACGGATCACACACGAGAAACTGAAGAGCGGTTCAGGTCAGAAATGAGATTTGCTGCTACTCCTAACACCGAGCGTACCAGTTCTTGTCGGTCGGGTCATACGGAGGATATGGTGCTTTGAACATCCTGGCCCGCGGCGGTCGTTCGGTCGAGGGTACGGGATCGTGGCTGTGCCGCTCCCTTATCTCTTCCCTCCGCCGTGCTTCTCGGAAAGAGCGAGGGATATCTGTCGGAAAATGGACATGGAACACTCGCGGTCCCCCATCCCATGTTATCGGCCTCCTCTTGCCTTTGCCTCTGACCCTTCCTCGTTCAAACCGACATGGCATCGTGGTTGAAGGCCTCAACATGGGAGCTTGAGCCTGATGCCGGAGATCCCGCAGGCAAGGGATGGAGCAACAAGGATATGGAGCCTGTCCCTCCGCATTTGCGGACTTGGTCGTCGTTCAACTATGTCATGTATTGGGTATGCTCTCAGCCTGTTTTCTACACGCCGACAACTTATTGTACCTTAGATATCAGGTTAGCATGCCCTTGGCAATGCTGCCGCACTTCAAGTTGGTCGCTAATGAAACCCTACCACCCAGATGCCACCAACGTTGCTGTCTGGGAGCTCGCGTCGTACGTACACTGAGTTGCATGTCGCAAGCGGAAAGGGTCCTGAAGCTTCCCTGCTACAGCTCCATGATCGCTATCGGACTCTCATGGTACGTGCACACGCCCTCTTCGTGAACGCCCGCTCAATGTGGAAGCGCGTAGGCGTCAAGCTCTCCCTGCTATTGCCCTTGGTCACATTATCATTTCTGTGGTGATGGTTGCCAACGGCACGATAGGAGCACGACTGCACGTCCCGTTCCCGGTGCTGAACCGCAGCTCTTTTGGGTTTTACTTCTCCTACTTCTCAGTCATCAGCCGAGTGGTGCTGAGCATGTTCTGGTTCGGTGGGGTTCATCTCGTTATATTGTCGAATGCAGTCATTAAACAAGCTCCGAACACGTCCCGCAGGCATCCAAACGTACACGGGCAGCGAGTGCGTGTATCAAATGCTGAAAGCGATATGGCCATCTCTCGCGCACCTGCACAACGACCTCCCTGCTGGTGCTAACATAACGACTTCAGGCACGTTTCTTATATGTGGTTCGTTTGTACTATCTCAAATTTCTTCGTGGCAAACAGGAATGATGTGCTACTTCCTGTACTGGCTCATTCAATTCCCGCTCATGCTGGTCTCACCCCAAAAGATTCGCTACCTCTTCACTGCCAAGGGCATCATCGTCCCCTGTGCCTGGCTTGCCATGTTAATCTGGTCCTTCATCAAGGCAAGTCAGCGTGTGCCTGGGCTCGGTCTTTGAGCTAACACCATCTAGGTACCTTCTGAATCTTCCGAAGGATTGTTCGCGCAACGTAGCAGCCTGCACGGATCCAAACTATCTTGGGCTTGGCTGAGTGCGCTGAACTCTGCGCTTGGGATATACTCGACGTTAGCTGTCAATATTCCTGATTTCACAGTCAGTTGTATACTATTCCCAAAACGTTTCGACGTGATGCTGACATTGTACAACTTAGCGATACGCAAAGGATGAGCGAGCGTAAGCCGCGTTTGGATCTGCGAACATGACTTTCAGTAGCTGACTTCGCACCACAGGCAATACATCCAGTTAGGGATTATCCCCGTTGCTTTCACTTTTTGCGGTTTCATCGGCATGGCCGTCACCAGCGCGGGCATCCACCTCTACGGTGAGGTTCTATGGGACCCGCTTCGACTTATCGACAAATGGGACAACCGCGCTGCGGCCTTCTTCGCCTCCTTCGCTTTCGTCCTGGCCACTCTCGGTACCAACATATCTGCAAACTCGCTTTCTGCTGGCAACGATATGGCCGCTCTTCTCCCCAAGTACATCAACATCCGACGCGGACAGGTGATCTGCGCTATCCTTGGAGGATGGGCCCTGGCGCCTTGGGAGATCCTGGCCAATGCGACGGGATTCTTAAGCTTCATGAATGGGTATACCGTATTCCTGGGGCCGTTCGCAGGAATCATGTACGTCTCGATGCTTCATACTCGTTGCTCGTAGTCTGATCATTTCATAGGGTGACAGACGTACGTTTTTCTTTTGTCTATGCGGCTATATTGTTCACAGAATGACATTCTTCACTACACCCAGTACTGGCTCATCCATCGCTGCAAGGTTGACGTACCGGCGATGTACCTGCCGCAGGGCCGCTATCGCTACATAGGCGGTGTTGTGAGTGCCACTGATCATCGGACGTCGCAATAGCTCTTACACAAGTGCATAGAACTGGCGGGCAGCGTTGGCACTCCTCTGCTCGGTCCCACCGACGATGCCAGGATTGATTAACTCTATAAACACGAACATCAATGTGGGGAATGCGGTACACCTCTTCGATATCGCCTGGCTCTTTGGGGTATGTTTTGCGACGATTTACAATCTCGCCAAGCCAACTCTGTTGACCGTGTACAATCATAGTTCGTTGTTGCATCCGTGGTTTACTATGCTGCTTCTACGTTCTTCCCGGCTAAGGAGACGTACCTCGAGGAGGCCATCTACGTCCTGTACGATGAAGAGAAGGACGGGACCCCGTCGGCGGATAACGACGAAGAGAAGTCACAAGAAGGGGAGGTCGAGAAGTTCATGCCTACGTCGCAGGTTTCTACCCGTATGGTCTGAAACCGAAGTGCCGTGTTCATCTCCAGAGTTCGAGGACCGTCTTAGGAACAGGTGGATAGAACGAATCTTATAAGATGTGTGGTCCGTCAATGTGACATGATATATCTTATCGTCGATGAGGAATGAATGACTACATGGCGATTCTTGGAGTGACGGAGGTGTTAGCCGCGATCTTTTGCCTATATTCCTTCTGCGCATGGCGCATCCCCTGGAGTAGACGTGTGATAACATCCCGAATAGTAGTTGATAGGTGTCTGCCGAGATTCTCCGGCGTGGTTTCCTCAGAAAGACAGTTGTCAACGGCGGGGCGGAGGTCACCTGGGATGGATAGCAAAACACTAAACCATCATTGAATACAAATATCTCCCCCTTGCGGATCGCAATACTCGCCTCATGTCGATATCATAAGTAACAAATGCAGATACTACTGCATATATGTTGCTCGCAATCTGCAAATATACGCCGCTGATTTCCGAATTTGTTTTCTTGAACTGGACCCATAGAGTCAGGTATTCGAGCAAGGTCTTGATAGAGAGTAGTAAACGCGATATCGCTAGCTCAACCGGCGGCCGCTAAATATGACATGAGTACTCGCAGTGCGCGCATAACCAGGATGGAGTGGCAGTCACTGACTTTGCCTCGAGAGGGCGCAAGACGGCTATCAGGCGTTGCCGACGGCTTCGCGGAGTTTGAGGATGGAACGGAGTTGTCCCGAGACCCAGGCGTAGGTTGATGTTGACCTAACGGAGGTTGTGGCGCTCTTGCTGTAGGCATGGCGTGACGGAGCTACAGGAGTCTTGGATAGGCTGAATATCGGTTGTATCTTTCGAGGGGGGGAGCACCGTAGGGACGCGAACTGGAATCTCAAACCGGCTATGTGGACTTGGTCACGTGTAACTCTTTGACATTGCGGTCTGTCAAACGCGTTCCTGTCCTTCATTGCTCTCTTTCTCCCTCGGCATAGTATGAGCTTCGAGACCTGGCTACCGGTTGATTACTGAGGTGGAGCGTTTTTCGGCATCCCCACGGACAACTGTTCGTCGCGTCCGCATCGGCAACGACATTACGGAGGTGGACCGAATGGATTGCGCGACTACCGCGATGGTCAATGCTGAGTCCGATGTGGCTGTGTGGTTTACTTATAACCGTACCTTTCGTCCGGCCGCACTTCTCGAGGGGAGCAGAAGGTACCATGAGAGTTACAACAGTCGAAAAAAGACCACGCAGCGCGCGCGGTCGCCCGCTCCGTCTTATCTTCAAGAAGAACCCGCTCATGCTGGTCTACTCTTCACCTTATACTCGTTCTCTTCCCCCATCATAACAACTTGACCATGGCATCCTGGTTAAAGGCATCTAATTGGGAGCTCGAACCTGATGCAGGCGACCCCGCAGGAAAAGGATGGAGCAACAAGGATATGGAACCTGTCCCTCCGCACCTGAGGACTTGGTCGTCCTTCAATTATGTTATGTATTGGGTAAGCATATCAACGCTGGCGGATCTTGGCCGCGACCTGAATAAATCTGCTCCTTAGATTTCAGGTGAGTCTGAGGTATAAGGACCTTTTTCACCCAGTACCGACTCACGTTGCTCTGCGCCCCAAGATGCCACCAATGTAGCGGTTTGGGAGCTCGCTTCGTGAGTGCTCCACACTATAGACTCGATGGTGTCTGCCCATTGACAAGCAGCGGTGGAAATGTAGCTCCATGATTGCTATTGGTCTCACATGGTACGCGTGATAGCTAGCATATCGTCTGGTACTCCGGCGTCATTGACCATTCGAGCTCCCAGGCGCCAAGCTCTACCTGCAATTGCGCTTGGCCACATCATCCTCTCGATCGTTATGGTTGCCAATGGCACGATCGGAGCTCGATTGCATGTCCCCTTTCCAGTGATGAACCGCAGTTCTTTTGGTTTCTACTTCTCCTACTTCTCAGTCATTAGCCGTGTCGTTCTCAGCATGTTCTGGTTTGGTGAGCATCGTGTTCATACAGTCAACATCCCCCATCTCAACAATTCTGATCCAGGCATTCAAACCTTTTCGGGGGGCGAGTGCGTCTATCAGGCAAGCGTGATATCACTATTCCGGTCGGTCGCCTGATCCTTGTATAGATGCTCAAAGCGATTTGGCCTTCGCTTGCACACCTCCAGAATGGCCTGCCTTCCGGCAGTAACATCACAACATCCGGTAGGTAGTTTGTCCTTTATAACGACATTTTGAATCACTGATGAGCCGTAACCTGTTCCGGGAACCCAGGGATGATCTGCTATTTCATCTATTGGCTCGTCCAATTCCCCCTGATGTTCGTGTCTCCTCAGAACATTCGCTGGTTGTTTGTCGTGAAGGGAATTGTGGTCCCTTGTGCCTGGCTTGCGATGTTGATATGGTCTTTCGTCAAGGCAAGCACTCGTAGCTTAGGGCGTGGGTCGTATGACTGATTATACTCCAGGTGCCTTCCAAATCTCCAGGAGGATTATTCGTACAGCACAGCAGCATCAGCGGCTCGGATCTTTCCTGGGCATGGCTCGCCGCACTCAACTCTGCCCTCGGGCTTTATTCAACGCTCACTGTCAACATTCCTGACTTCACGGTTCGTTGCATGAAATTAGCGCCCGTTCTGCCAATGCATTACTGACTGTTGCCACAGCGTTACGCCAAGGACGAGCGAGCGTAAGTCAAGTTCATGGTGTTAACGTCTCATGGCGCTAATTTAGATGCTGTATCAGTCAGTTCATCCAACTGGGTATTATTCCTATCGCCTTCACGTTCTGCGGCTTCATCGGTATGGCTGTCACCAGTGCCGGCATCCACCTCTACGGTGAGGTCCTCTGGGACCCTCTCCGCCTCATTGACAAGTGGGACAACCGCGCGGCTGCGTTCTTTGCCTCGTTCGCATTCGTCCTTACGACACTCGGGACCAACATTTCCGCAAACTCACTCTCGGCCGGCAACGATATGACCGCGCTCCTGCCCAAGTATATAAACATCAGAAGAGGACAGGTCATTTGTGCGATCCTGGGTGGTTGGGCCATGGCTCCGTGGGAGATTTTGGCCAACGCTACGGGGTTCTTGAACTTCATGAATGGATACACAGTATTCCTGGGTCCATTCGCAGGGATTATGTATGTATCACCTTAGAATGTTTTCGTCGATGTGGACGCTCTAACCGAATTTGCCTCAGGGTGACCGATGTACGTTACTATGCTACTAAACCTGTGGTCAAGGTCTAGATTGACGTGATTGATCGCAAACAGTATTGGCTTGTACATCGCTGCAAAGTCGATGTTCCGGCGATGTATCTGCCTCATGGTCGATATCGCTACGTCGGTGGCGTGGTGAGTCTTTCCGAACGCGAACACTGCCGCGCCTTTCATCAGCTCATACGGGATGCCACAGAATTGGCGTGCAGCATTTGCGCTCCTCTGCTCTGTACCCCCGACGGTGCCTGGGCTAATCAAGTCGATCAACTCAAACATCGAGGTTGGGTCCGCAAAACACTTGTTTGACATCGCGTGGTTATTTGGGGTACGCCTTTTCTCATGTCCGTTCTCCAGAGTGACACACTGACATGAAACATTTGTCAAGTTTATCGTGTCGTCCCTGATTTACTATGCCAGTTCAACGCTCTTTCCGGCGAAAGAAACATACCTTGATGAAGCGATCCACGTGGTGTACGACGAAGAACCGAGGGCAAGCATCTCTGTGGATGTTGGTGACGAGAACACCGAGGAAGATAACAAGAAATTTATGCCACCGGTGAAGGTCTCGACGTATACAGTATAAGACCGGGGCGACGGAGGTGATCACAGCGAGTTCGCGACCAGCGTTACCAGGGTGAAAGGATGAACAAGAAGAGGTGCCAGATCGTATACATGCTTTAATGTAAAAACTGCTTGGAAGATATCCTATCGTATAGCTTAGGACGGTATCAGTGCACAAAATCGACCTGAAAGACAAGGGCGTCACTACGCGAACGCGTGACTGATCAATCGATCACGTGCAGCGCGACTTGCACACCGCGAGCGGACGCGTCGACGTCGCCCCTCCTTACCTCCTTCCTCGATACAACTACGTCCTGCCCCTCCGCTGGTCATCCTCGGCACCCACACCTTTCCCCGCCCTCAACGCTCCAGGCGGCCTGTCCGCCGCGCCCGCACCTGTGCCACCAACCTCGCGTCCCCATCCAGCCAACATGTCCATTCCCGTCGTGGAGTGTGCTCTAACCCTAAGGACTCCCTCTCGATGATTGCGATCCCCCCCTTGCTCGTGCGAACCTTCTCGTGGTCAAGAGCGACAGGCTAGCGTGACCCGTGCTTCAACTGCGACGGTGTACGACTGAAACCCCCAAGGCTTCGACGCGGTGATGACAGACCCTCCATGCTCGTGCATCCGTCGCTCGCGATGATGGCCCTGAAACTCCACCGCGCATCTCCGGAACATGTCGCTGCCACTTTCCGCATTCCGCATCTCATACGGATATCGGGCGCGTCGCCTCGGGACCTCGCGCCTTCCGCCGGCTCTGCTACTTCCGCACAGAGTAGTCGAGTGGGCGCTGACCTGGCCTCGCAGTGCTCCTCTCGGGCTATTCAATGTAGCATCCGCTGATGCTCGGCGCGAGAAGGCGACGTCGGATGGCTGCGTATCATACGATTGTGGTGGCGGTCAAGGCGTGCGCGAACATCAGAGAATGCGTCCCTCGGATATGATGGAGGGCACGGCCGGAGCAAGTTCCCCGCGCGCTTGAGCACGGTCTCGTCATTCAATCTGCGCAAAGTGGCACTCGTACGGAACCTCGCAGGTTCTCTCACCCGCCACTTGTCGCTCAGCCTTTTAGGTTGTGCAACCTCCGATCGAACTCGAATCACGGTACAGCTTCGCATATGTGCCGCACACATACCGAGCACTCCGCACAGGATCCAATCTATCGACCTCTCCTCGAGTGGCGCATCTTCCCTGCCTGCCAGGTCAGGATGCGGCGCGCCTGCTCCCCACCTGGCAACCTTTCAGCTGGATCGCTTGCCATGGGTCGCCCCCACCGTCCTCGCAAGTCACCAGTTCATCTGGGACTTCAGACGGCGGACGGACAGGGACCCTAAAGCGTTGGCTAGCGCAATCAAATCCGCATGGCTAAGGGGACGCTGTAGACGGTGGACCATCACAGGACTGCGACGTTGCACGCGGATCAACAGGACCCATAACGGAAAGTGTGGTCCGAGGACTCAATGACTCAACGAAGTTGGGCAGAATGCGTAGGCGCCGCTGTGTTGGAGAATGAGGTGTCGGCTTCGGCTGTCGATGAACTCGTGCTCCCTCATGCTCATCATCTGTTCCCCTTATCGTGCCCTTCCCTTGACGGAAGGCGCGCTGTGAACTGTCCACAGCGCTGGTGCTACCCGCTCCCGCGACGCTGCTCACACAAGTTTGAAGTTAGATGCGGCGCACATCCTGACCGCGCCAGATTCGGCCACTCGGGTCGTCACGATCGATCTCGTCGCGGAGACCCTTCGGCCGTGAGTCGGATTGACGCTCTCCCAGGCCGTCAATCGCGAAGGCCCGACGTTGCCTTAGGTTGCCGCCCGCGCTCCGCCAAGATTTTTTCGCTCTACTGCTTGGCTTTGCACTCCCGCCGCCTTGGGCCCGCTCGTGCGAGGACACGCTCCTAGATCCTGCCAGATGCGATACCTACGGGCATCGGGCCGCGTAGTTGCGCAGCCCCGTCGCATCAGAGTTTCGGCTCGCTTTGGTCCGGATCTGGTTTGGCTCGTCAGCCACGAGCGGAGCAGCGGGACCTGCACCTCGAACTGCCGGGAGTCAGCGACCGCTTGGCGTAGATGCGCGGGATCTACGGCTTCCGATGGGTGTGTCAGTGGCTGGTTGGCGGATTACGCACGGGGAGACGCAGCCGATGATCGACGAAGGCGAGCGGTGGATTGTGCATGGCTCCTGCTGGTCCCGTTTCTGGCGCTCAAAGGTCAGGATTCATCTTACATCATCTTCGTGCAGTTGCTTCGGTCGCGGGCGGGCCTCGTGGCTGGCTGGCCTGGCGTCGAGCTTCTCGTCGCTGGATGTATCCCCAGCTTGATCTTCGGGTCGTTGGGTGAGGCGCTGGTCGACAGTTGCTTTGCTGGGCCCTGCTGGCTGCTGTTGGCCCATTGGAGCAGAGTGGGAAGTATGCGCCGCGTTGTTTCGCTGCCGTTCGGTAGCGCATTTGCAGGAGGGCGGCGCTCTGTGCCGGTCGAGTAGCGGAAGATGTTGGTTTGCGCCTTGGCGCGAATGGCACGAGGTTTTCGAGACGGTGCTATCGATCCTCAACAATTTTTTGAACCTTCGCTGGCTTTCGTGGCCGCTGAACGACCAGCATACCCTACTATATATTTGTACAGCATGCCTGACCTCTATCGTCGATGTCCTCCATCTTGAGGTCATGCCTACCCGGAAGTCCGTCGGGTCATCAGGAGTCTGAACCGCGATGTGATATCGAGTAATGGATGCATGATGCTGGGAGTCCTTCATATCCGAAGGCGAGAAAGATGTCTGTCCGCAAATTGACACAGGACGCGGTTCAACCGGGGACACAGTCACGGACTACGGGCGCTGCGAATGGCAGGGTGAAGGAGAAGTCCGTGGACTGAGACTCGAGAGGCGTTGAGATCAATATGTTTTGTGGATCTCCGGAGTACTCTTGTGCTGAGCTGAGTATACGGTCCGAGATATCTTGCACTTTACGGAGCGGGTCTAAGATACGCGCAATAAGATGAAGCAAGTACTACTGTACGACTCTTCTGTACTTATCGCCGCGCCGAAGCCACACGGGAAACATGGATTCGGACGTGAGAGCCTCATGGCAGCTTGTTCGCGTGCCTCGCCATAGGTCGCCTTTGTTGAGCGTAGACTTGATCACCGACGTCGACCATGGAGGGCAAGGGAGAGGGAGATCCGACTGTCTTCGTGAAACTCGTGCAAGTACCTCCTCCGGCGCCAGTTGCTACAACCCGACGGCTTCTCCTTGGGATCTCTCTGGCGTTGTCTGCATCCTTTGCTCTGTACCACAACCTCGGTACCGCTCCGAGCGTAGCAGGAACGGCGCTTCCTCAGACCTATGCTGTCTGCTCAGACTCGAAGGACATATGGACCGTTGACGAAGCTTCGCCTCGAGTGGAATGCGTAGGCATCAACGAGGGATATATCCTTGCTACGGGCGCGTTCGGTGCGGTTCCTGCGCTTCATTGTCGTATGGACCATGGCTTATACGCTTTTTCACAGAGGAAGTGCAGTCGCGCGTCGCCGAGCGAGGTGTTTCTCCAGAGGAGCTTACAGTGTATAAGGTGAAGTCTGGGTCGGTCGTCCTTCCAGGGCTGGCAGGCGAGTCTCTATGCTCAACTCCGGTGTCTCTTGACTGACCACGGCTCTTTCAGATGCGCACGCTCACGTACTCGACTATGGGTTCGCTATGCAACTGCCGCTGGCAGGCTCCAGCTCGGTCTCCGGTGAGCCGCACGGATTTTCTACGCAGAGTGCCTTTGGCTGAATTTACGCTCCCCAGAGGTCGTTGACCGTGTTCGGAAGTATATACTCTCCCGCCCTGACGTTCTGAACGACACGAGCCGATGGATCCAAGGGATGGGTTGGGACCAGACGAGATGGCAGAACAAAGAATTCCCGACGGCAGTGAGCAGTTTGGACTCTCTTTACCGACACTTCACTGATGCGTACTCGCTCTAGAACGATCTGGATAGCGACCCATTGCTGCGCGGACGGCCGATCGCGTTGTCTCGTGTAGACGGACACGCGTCATGGGTCTCGAATACGGTGTTGGATCTTATGGGAGATCTCCCGGACACTGTCAATGGCGGGGCCATCCTCCGCGTCGATGGCAAACCTACTGGTGAGCGTCAGAAGTGGCTCACTCGTCCGGAGATTCATACTAGCTCCAGGTGTCTTCCTCGACAACGCCATGGGCCTCATTCCCATTCCGTCCTCTTCTCCGAGCGAGCTGCACGAATATGCCGAGAGGACGTACAAAGACGCTCTGGCGGTGGGATTGACCTCAATACATGACGCCATGTCGTCACCGGACAGGATCGCGTTCTTCGCCGAGTACGTTATGAGCCCGTTGCCGCCATTGATCCGATATTCAATGACATTTAGACAGGCCGAGGAGGGTAATCTTCCAGTGAGCTTGCTCTTTCTTGACAAATTTGTATATCTTGAAAGACTTGCCAGCTCCGTTTGTACCTCATGGGCAACGTCAACTCCGATAATTACTGGGGAAAGCAAATCCCGAAACTCTTCAACTATGGCAAGGATGCCCGCCTGAACGTCCGCAGCGTCAAGCTCTTCACGGATGGTATGGACGACGCACTTCGTTCGCTGCCGCATCATAACCTGGTATGCAGGAGCACTGGGATCGTGGGGCGCAGCGCTCCTCGAGCCCTACTCCGACAACAGCAATACCACCGGTATCATGCGCAGCACACCGAAGGCCCTCTCTTCCCTGGTGAAAAAGTTCTGGAAAGACGGGTTCCAGGTGGTCAGTCGTGCTTTTTTATTCCTTCTATCCGGCTTAACCGTCTTCGTGCAGAACATTCACTGCATCGGCGACCGCGCCAACAAGGTGGTGCTCGACATCTTCGAGGATATTCTTGCCAGCAAGCCACTCGCGGGGATCTTCGGATACGGAATGAACACGAACGTAACAGAGATGCGGCCCCGAATCGAACACGCGCAGATCATGCAGCTCAGCGATATAGAGCGCGTTGGGAGGCTGGGTGTGATTACGAGCGTGCAGCCCACCCATGCGTAAGTCGATTTGTTCTGTACGTTGGGGGTGCAACACTGAGATTTCGATTTTTTTTGCAGTACGAGCGATATGTGGTATGCGGAAACACGTTTGGTGGGTACTGATGGTTGAGCGTTACCTAAATAACAACGTTGGTGACAGGGGTCGGAAAGAATCAAGGGCGCGTACGCGTACCAAACTTTGCTTCAGTATGCTCGATTCTCCTCATATTATAAGCAGCGTCTAAGTCGAATGTCTCCTTAGAGCGTCACCCGTGAAGGTACTCCCCTTGGGGTCCGACTTCCCTGTTGAGGGCATAAATCCGCTGCTCGGATTCTACGCCGCGGTGTCACGCTTATCTACAGATGGGAAGTCGCCAGCAGGGGATGAGGGATGGTACGGGACCTCTCCTTCATCTCGTTTGAGATCGTCATTGATAGGCGTGTGGCAGGTATCCCGCAGAAAAGCTCACTCGGGAGCAGGCCTTGAAAGGGATGACCCTCGACGCGGCATACGCGTCGTTTGCGGAGAGCGAGCTCGGCTCGCTCGTGCCCGGGAAGAAGGCCGACTTCGTCGTCCTAGACGGCAACATCATGACCGTGCCCGTCCACAAGATTCTGAGATCGAGGGTGACTGCGACCGTGATTGACGGAGCTCTTGCATACGGGTCCTTGTGATGATATACATCGCACGGTATCTCCATTCACCGCACACCTTGCGCCGAAATAGGACATCGAAGGACGATATCGGGCTTCAGGTGACTTGATGTGAAGTACTCAGTGTACTCGAGTACATCATGTCGTAATGAGCGTAGCAGGATGTGCAGGGAATATGCGCGACTATGCATATTATGTACTGCACAGTGCCCTAGTATCAGCATCAAGCATTAGGCATCGGGCCCAGATCAAGGTTGGAAAATGACGACGGGGTGTCCCAGGCGCCGACGTCATGGCGACCTGCTGGAAGCGAAGTTTCGCAGGGATTCGTCCCGCGCTTCTCTTCCGACGTCCAGGTCTCATATACCGTCAGTACTTGCAGCTACAGCCTACAGGGCGTGGAGCAGGGCTCGATTAAACATTGGCACGGCCACAAATGCCATCATACTCGACAAGGCTTGAAAATCGCAGCTTTCGAACCTTGGACTTCGTCGTACATAAAATGCTATAACGCTATGAATGCCGCTTTTATCAAATTGCTTCTGGCTGCGTGCAATGCATCGTGTCCGATCTTGGCGCCAGGAATGCGGCCTGTCGCCGTATGCCGGTGAATCGTCCAATTTTTTCGACGGCCGCTTTTCTACAACCAGCCGCACCGTCGTCGTCCGCCAAGACGCTATGAGGACCATCGAGGAGCTCGCCAAGACTGTGAGCTGTATGAAAACCAAAAAGGAGAAGGCCGCCGAGTTTCTCGCCCACATGAACGCCCTAGATGCTTTTGAGCGCGAGAGAACCGAGGCGGGCATCTATGCGTTCCACAAGGATCGGCTGGTCTATATGGAACCCATCGCCGCGTTGATGAAGGCTCATGAGATCAGTTGGGCAGACCTCTCGCCGCTCATTCCCACCACTGATTGGTCTATAAAACGAGTGCCGTGCGCCTACCTGAACCCAATGAACAAGGCGGACCCGGAATGCAACAAGGAAGGCCTTTTCTCGTGCTCTACGTGCAGATTAGTCAAGTACTGTTCCAAAGTACGCGTACTATTTCTATCGCGGCTTGGATGAATGCTTACCGGGTACGTCACCACCAGGAGTGCCAGGCAAAACATTGGAAGATACATTCCAGAGGTCAGACCATGGTGTGCGCTTTTGGATCTCACTCGTTCACATCAAATCGTAGACTGCAAAAACAAAAGGAAGGGGTGGAAGCCGCACTGGGTCACAGAAGGGCGGACGCCAGAATACTCCGCGTCAACGGACATCTCTCAGGAGGGTTCGGATCCTCTAAGGCATCGCTTGACTCTGTGAGTCTCTTCAAGGATAAGGTGGTTGGCTTCATTCTGATGCCCTGGACGCGAAGCTGGGGCACTTTGCCTGCATACGACGTTCTAAATATCGCACAAAACGAGGGAACTTCCGTAGGCAGTCTCAACCTCATGTTCGCAAGTGCGTGCTTATGCCGTTTATGCCTCGTGCCCTGGCGTGATGTCTAATCAATGGATGCCAGACTCGGGTGATCTTCGCAACGTTATAAAGACAGTGAATTCTCTCCCACTCGACTTCCAAGGGAAGACGACTATCGTGCTCAACGACCGTGATCCATGGATTACTGTGCGCAATGCCGTGATACTACGAACTCTCCGAGCCTCCGGGGACAAGAGGCTCCTTGCAGATATCGCGTACCATCTGTGGTATTCTGCATTCATCCCCGACTCGTACAGCATGACCTACGGCGACTATATCCATGCCATTGGCGTTCACACGGGGGATCGGTATGACGTCAATTTGGGGGCCGCATCTGCGCTTCATGTAGAAGTAACGGCAGACGTGCGCGCACTGTGCACGTCGCTCGTCGCGTCCGGCCACTTGTATTCATCCCGCGAGGCAGCTGTTGAGTACTCCATAGATCGGTGGGTTTACTTCGCGTAGCCCGCGGCGTTTCATGTATTTGACCTATTTTGCACCAGACTCCGCGACGACTCGCATATTGATCTCCACGACCGCCACTACTACAGGCTTCGACCGTCCCACCGGTTAGCGCTACGCGAGTACCGCTCATTCGGCTGCGTTGTACCGTTTGGCACGCACTTTACTCATTACCCGTCTCCGAATCGTCTGCTCTTCTCTCCTAAAGGGGAGTGGCTTCAGACTTCCGACGCGGATCCGCTCAACTCTTGGGAGTACGTCCTCTATCATTGTCACCCCTTCTCATCGGGACCCATAGTTGACCAAAACGCGCGCAGCATCGAGGACGTCATCGAGGCCGGCAAAGCTTACGGCGCCAACGAGGAAGACGTCTACGGCTGCTTCTACTTCTACGTTACGGACCAGCTTGTCCAGTTCGCCGAACGGCTGGCCAACCTACGTCTGGTGTTCAAGCTCTTCAACTCGGAACCGAACGCGCTCGCGGCGTCGATCGTGTGCAACGGGAAACGCAGGCCGCTCGGCATCCCGAAGAAATTCAGGTTCGATCGGATCGACGTGTCGAACATGATGGACTTCGACTTTGGCGGCGTCGGTCCGACGTTGGAGACGTGGGGAGGGCTGCTGAGGAATAGCCCGCATGCGTGCATACTTGGGTATTTCTCGAGTTGGCCGGACGGCGAGCCCGATGCGGACGAAGCTAGCAATATATTAGAAGAGCTGCTCTCGTCTGGAAAGGCGCGTACCTTTGTTCTCCGACCCAGACCGCAGGCTCATACGTCTCCCAGATCTCCATGCCACCAGTTACCGACGATACCGCAGATTCCAACAACCATAATGCACGTGCGTCGTTCATCCAAGTCGGGCTCGAGGTGATGCACTCATCAGCTAGTTATCAGAGATGGCGTGGGCCATGGCGGCTCATTACCATGTTTGCGCGGCACTATACGATAACTCGGAAGCGTTCGAGGCATATCTCAACGAGGAGGGTCTTGAGCAGGCTCTCGAACGGAACGACCTAAGACGAAAGGAGGTCCGTACCGTCCTTCCTCGGGTGCGTTCACGGTCATATATATCTAGCCATCGACTAGATGTACTGAAACGTTCCTGTTCAGCGCCTCGGAGTTCCGTTGGATGCCCCGCCTTCGGCCCTCCCGCATTTCGAATCGGACGACAGCTGGTACTTGAAGGTGTGTCTATCTTCGACATGTTCCGCCCATGTGTGGCGCTGAACATACTGTCACAGACGACCATAGGGATCAGCATGTGGAACGAACGCTTCATCGAGATCGCGCGAGCTTCTTCATGAGGTCGGAAAGCGCCGGCATATACGAAGTGGTGCCTACGCCCAGTGCAATAACGAGAATGAGATAATGAGGCGGGGATAGATTTGAAGCGTGGAATCTATATTACAGACACGATAACGTACAGATGTGCGAGCACATACACTATTATTTAGAATACAAAGAACGAACAAAGCACAGCAAAACATGCGATAGCAACGAAAAACAAACAATGCCATAGACTGAGTGCAATCTTCAAGCCTTCTTGAAGAATTGGGTGATCTTGGGAACGCCGTCCGAGCTTGCGGTCACGTCCTTCTTGGCCTTCTTCCTCGGACTGGGCGTAGCACCCGATTTACGAGGCTTTTTTGTAGGAGTAAGCGGCACGGGAGGTAATGATTTAGCTTCAGGCACCGGTTTCTGTAGCAAGGCCCTTTTTAGCCAAAGCATGCGAGAAATAATGGGGATGGGGTACATACCTCGTCGATGTATTCCACCTGTCCACTATCATCCCAAGCAATCAATTTTTCTACTTTCTCTTCAGATTCTAGTTCATCGACCGTTTTGACCGGTGATGGCGAAGATGAATGGGAGCGAGGTCTTTTGTGGCTGGTTACTTTTATCGGGGTCGCGGGCGCAGAAGACGAAGGTTCTGCGTTGAACGACCGTCCATCACCCGAAGCGGAGGTGATCTTCCTTGGGGACTTGGCCTTGGCCTTGGCAAACATCGCTTCGATCCCGTCCTTCCGTTGAGAGATAGGGCGTATGAAACTATCGGATTCCGTCCCCACTTTCCCCACCTCCTTCGGCACTGGATAACTGGGAAGCATGCATCAATTGGACTTCTTTGGCTCAAGGAAGAGAAAAGGCTTTAACGTGCCATTCAAGGGGATGCTCGGTATCATGATATGACTTCACAATCTCGGTCAGCTTCTGTGTCCATGTCCGGCTCGAGGTGTCGAGCCACGCATCCAGTGTCGCCTTGCTGGACAGTATGACAGGCTGGCGATCATGGAGCCACATGAACTCCTCGTTCGCTTCCGTGGTCACGATTGTGAACGTGTACAAAGGCTTGCTCTCGCCTTCGAGCACAGTGCAGTCGTACAAGCCTGCTAGGAACATCGGCTTGCCCTGCTCTGCGTGCTTGGTGAAGTGGGGTAGGCGGTCTTTACCCTTCTTGAGCCACTCAAAGTACCTACAAATCAGGCGTTGCGGGTGAACTAGTGAGCACCCGAAGAAAGGTAAGAGGCGGTAAATACCCTTCACAGATGACGGCACATCGGTTCTTTCCCTTTATGCTGTTCCACATAGTACCGCTCTCAAATCCCACGAGGTTCTCCATGCGCGCGTTAGTCGTGTTCAGGCTTTTATCTTCGTGCTTCGACCAGTGCGGCACCAATCCCCATTTCATTGTCTGGATCACATATGGAACATTTGACGCTTTGTCGCTGAGACGGCCGTCGGTAGCATTTCGGCGACGAAGAACAGGGGCGTATGAGCGGGGCGCGATGTTGTGTCGCGGAGTGAACGCGTCCTCGTCGATCCATTCGAGGTCCTCGTCCGACGCGTCCGACGCATCACCGACTACATGTCGAATACTGGGGCGCTACAGGCGTACAATTCAGCTGGAGCTTGGAATGCTAACGTCGCGAATGATAAAAGCACCGGTAAACCGAGAGAATATCGTCCGCACATGAATAGCGCATTGAAGAAGGGCCGAAGCTCGAAGCGTTGAGTGACGAAGGGTGTCGCGGGTCCCGCCGCGGTCCCAGCAGGGCACGCGCTCGCTGCTCTCAACGTCCACCACCGAGTGGCAGCCCCCTCCCGCTCGCCGCCCCGCCCGACGCTGACGACCGCCCGCGATGGACGGCGCGGCCTTCAAGCTCCTCGAGTCGGCAGCGCACCGCACGCTGCACGCTCACGCCTTCTCGCGCACGTCGTCTCAGGCCTCGCTCGCGCTTACCGACCTCCTTTCACGTTACCTCACGCTGCTGCTCACCACGAGCGCCAGATACGCGCAGCATGCCGGGCGCACGGATCTTACGCCAAGCGACGCACTTGGAGCCCTGGAGGATCTCGGCGTGAACTTAGAAGAACTGAGCGACTACGTGAGCGAGGGCAGGGAGCTTAACCGTTACGCGGTCTATTCGGGACGCAGGCTCGAAGACTTGCGCGAGTTCAAGGGTCAGTCGCGGACGTGGACACGGGCAGCGCGTCATGTTGACCCTGTAGCTTGCAGCGGCCCTCGCGGACGGCCTGCGGGAGGATCGCGACGACGCCATTCCTTTGGTGTACGCACCAATACCGGAAGATGTTTTCATAAATTCCGATGACGAAAACGAAGACGAACCTATGGAAGAGGAGGAGGAGAGTATACCCTCTCACATTGAGCAGCTCAAGTTCAAGCTGGCAGAAGCAAACGCAGATGCTATGGACGTCACAACCGATGCGCCACTTTTGCCATCACCTCTTTCCGCTCCCGAACCCGAACCGCCCTCGACACGCCGCCAACCGACGCCACCACTCCCCTTGTCGCCCATCTCCAACCCTTCCTCGCCCTCCCGAAAACGTCCCCGTACAGCCGCCTGGCGCCCGCCAGCGCACATCCCCGACTTCCTCCCGCCCTTCCCGAGTCAGCCTGCCGCCGACGAAGCGCCCGAACGCCGCTCGCCCTCACCCATACCCGATCTCCCGCCACGCCTCTCCGCCACTGGAACCTCGCCCTCCGCAAAACCCGACGACCGAAATGGAACGGAGGCGCAAGTATCAGCACCAGCGGCGCTCACCCAGCCCTCCGCCTCTACCAGCGCCGCCGTCGCGGATTACCTCACCCCCGTCCCCTACGACCAGTCCACCCTCTCCTCTACGCCACACTGGCATCTCCCGCAACCACCCCGCCACCTGTCCACCCCCTCAACCACCCCCATCCGACCGCCTCACCTGCAGACGCCGCAAACGGAGCCGGCGCTCATCCAGGCTTACCACCACATCCTCACGCACCCGCCGCCCAAGACGATCACGGCGGTGAACCCGTCCCGTTACCGCGTCGCGCTCGCGCTCTTGCGGGAGGCCGAGGTTCGCCCGCGATGGGACCCGCCGGATACGCTTTTCGGCGCCTCCGCGCCTAACCCGCCGCGCGTCGTCGCCCCGCCGCCGTCGCACGCCGTGCCCATCGTTCCCGCCAATACACCCGCCACGCCAGCAGACGCGAAGGGTGACGGCGGGCGGGAGAAAGTCCCGCTCCCGAGCGCGCCTCCGCGACCCGTAGTCTACCCGGAGCACATCGCGCCGTCCATCTCACAGCAGGGCTCGCGCCTGCCCGAGCTCGCGCGGCAGATCCTTCCCGTAAGCGTTCCTTCATCGACGGCGGAGTAACTTGCGATCTAATGCCATATGTGCAATTCAGCTCGCCGTTCATACGCGCGCCACCAAACTGTCGCATCCGCCGCCGCTCTGGCGTGGCTCGGAGAAGTTGATCTATCCACCTGCCGTGCCCGCGCCGTGGAACGGGTATGCGGCGGAGCTCGCCAAGGAGTCGAAGGAGAAAGGCAAAGACAAGGACAAGGCGAAGGATGCGACAATCCTGAAAGACGCGAAGATGTATGCGACGTGGCCTTACGAGCAACGCTCCTACACCGACGATCTTCCTGCGCATCGTCGCACGCGGGCGCCGACGCTACAATCTACGGGGGCGCCCTCGGTGACTGTGCCGGCGAGTCGACCACGGAGTATGAGCAAGGACTTGCAATCGTAGCCCACTGCCTTCCCTATCATCCGCCTCTTACTACACTCCTCATTGCCTCTGCTTTGCCGATGCCCGCCTCTATTCTTACTCCACCGCGCTTGTACACTTGTGTTTAGCTGACCATTCCGAAGAGCTCCCCGACTGCAATACAAGCAAGCGTGTTACAGGATTGAGCATGCGAACTGAGAACACTCGTAAGGCGTTCCTTTGCCCCTCTCCACAGCCCTGGCGACAGATACATGCGAAACAAACACACTGAGAGAGTGAGATGACATCGATACTGTCGATACAAGGCAAGATGACGTCAATTCCTGACGCTTAGGAAGTGCATATATGCGTACCAGAGCAGAAAAAAAAAATGAGAGAAGGCGACCCGACTATTTGGGAGCCTCCTTGTAGGAGATGGCCTGCTCCTCGCCCATGGCGGAGACGACGGTGACGAGGAGGTCCTTGCCATCCTCGAAGCCTTGAACAATCTGCTCGCCAAGCTCGCCCTCGGGCACGCGCACATCATCCTTAGCAACCGAGTCCTGGGACATGAGGGACATGAAACCGTCGTCGATGTTCATGAGTTGGTACTCAGTGCGGCGGACGTTGGGCACGTCCATGTTGTGCGTCGACGGGCAAATATCTTCCTGTGGGGTGCGTGAGAAACTATGAGGCGAGAAGAGAAGGCATGCATGCGAACCAGTTTTTTGCCGGTGAAGATCTAATCAGACACAGTGAGATCAGCGAGAGCTGCAAGGTATACAAGGCGAGGTCCTTACGTCGATGGCGACAAGGTGGACCTTGGCGTGTCCGTGCTTGCCGGTCTTCGAGGTAGACATGTCAACGATCTTGCACGGGCGACCTGCACAGAAACTGAGCCTTTGCTACAGGCAAGACATGGGCGTATATGTACCCTTGATGACGACGTGTCCGTTCTTGCGAAGGGCAGAGCATTGCATCGGGTACGTCGTGGACGCGCCGGCGGACGCCTGGGTAGCAGGAGCGCACGCGAGTCAGTCCCACCCGTGCCTCTAGACGATCGCAAAAGTGCGCACCTCCTGGAAATCGTGGTTGTGCTCGTCGTCAGACATGATGGTTTCGTCAGATGCGGGTGAGGTCTAAGGAGGGAGGGTCTAGTGGAGGGAGAAGGAGGGAGGCAGAGCGGTGCGGAGCGCAAAAAAGTCTTCATCGATCTATACATCTCCACGTGCATTGATTATCTAAGCGGCGTTCAAGCGGTGATTTCGTCCAGGTCCTTTGCACGGCGCGAGTCGCTAACGTCTATTCTTTTCCAGAGCGCTTCGTAGTATACACCTCGCGTTCATTTGGTAGCGTATGGATCGCATGTTTGTTTTTTGGTTCCGCTCCGGTACATGGTCGTTGGGCGTCCACGGGCGCTTGTGCTTTGATCTGACTCGGCTCCGGGCGGCCAATGCTGTAGCACGCTGATGTCAACTTTCCCACATGCCTTCCAGATAATTCATACCGCGATCATCCAGCAACGGGTTACGAGCCTTTCTGCCGCAGTCCAAACCCCCCTTGTTTCTGACCACCATAACTGCTCAGGCGACCATGCATCCGTACGGCGGAACGCCCATCTGTCCACGATGTAACAAAGCGGTTTACGCCGCGGAGCAGGTGCGCCGGATGTTGCTTCCCGTGGTTGCTTGCAAGTTGACATGGGATCCGTGTATTAGGTGATGGGCCCGGGGAGAAAGGTGTGTCATCTTGCTTCGCGGCCGGGATGCACGTTACTAAACGTGTGCGTAGCTGTATCATAAGGTGGATCCTTGCAGCTTATCGCCCGCGAACGGACTGGGACTGAAGGCCGACCTTTTCAGCCTTGTCTATCATGTATGATCTGCAAGAAACGGCTTGACTCGTACAACCTTGTGGAACACAATCATGAAGTATGCTTTCCATCCCTGCCGGCGGAAACGTTCGATTGATGATCACTCCCTCTCTAGCCTTACTGGTAAAATGACTTAGTCTCTCGATGCACTTGATGAGACGCTCACCGTTCACCTCAGTAAGAACTGTCACGTCAAGACGTTTGGCACTCGCGACCTCCGCCACGCCAACCTTCCGACAGTACCAAGCTCGCCACCGCTCTCTCCAACGCGCACAGGCTCGTCATTGCCTTCGCCACCGACCTCCCCCGGCCGGACCTTGGCCGCCTCCCCGCCTCCATTGCTAGGACGGCCTTCACCCGCAAGCGGATTCAATGGTACAACGTCAGATGGGCTGAGGCGCACGGGGACGCTTGGCAGAACATCCTCTCCGAGCCCTATCCTCCGTCCGAACCGCACCCACAGTCCACGCTCGTCCGTGAGCCTGACGCCACTCTCGCCTTCGGGATCTGCTTCCTTCGCATCTATTCCAGAGGAGATCAAGGAGCAACCTGTGGAGACAAACGGGACGGCGGATGACGCAGTTGTTAATGGAATCGACCAGGAGGCGGCTTCGCCGGCACCAGCGAGTGCCCACAGTACGCCATCGGACGCTCAGTCGCAAGGCGAATATCGACCGCGTCTCTATACGCCTTCCACCATCCCCTCCGCCTACACCTCCACTCCTCTCGTCTCGCGCTCCCTTTCCCGCCCGAATCCGCCTACCACCACCACTCCTTCCTCATCAGGCACTAACTTTCAGTCCTCCACTGTTGGCCCTGCCATGTCGAAGACGATGTCCATGCCTCCACTCCAGCCCACGATGACCGGCACGCGGTACGGTGCCGCCCTCGGAGGATCAGGAGCAAGCATTGGCCCCGCGTCGCCTCTGCGTCCCACCGCGACAGGTGGCGCCGGGAGATCGTGGGGCGGAGGGACTCCGCAGTGCGGGAAATGTGGAAAGAGCGTCTACTTTGCCGAACAGGTTTATCTATCACTCGCCTATGTTGACTGGACACGAAGCTGACGGTCTTGGCCGATCTAGGTGAAAGCTGTCGGCAAGACCTTCCACAAGAACTGCTTGCGCTGCACAGAATGCAACACTCTCCTCGCGCCCGGTCGACTCGCGGAGAAGGAGGGCGAGCCGTTCTGCAATCGGTGTTACGCGCGCGTGCATGGTCCCGCAGGGGCGGGCTATGCGTTGCTTGGCAAGGCCGGGGGCTGAAATACAAGCCGCTCGTTGTATTCCATTTTTTTTCTCTGCGGCACGATCATATGACTATAACGGACACTCGCGTGCAGAATACCCGAATGTATCGATAAACCCTGGTTGAACCTTGTTTGCAAGTAAAGGTGGCGTCCCCCAATTTAGTGAGGGTTACAACCGGCATATTATCTTCTGGAGACTTTGCAACTTCTTACGCTCGATTTTTGGGCTGAAGCCTCGAAGATCGTAGGAGACCGCCCAGAACACTTGGAGGCTGTGCTAATAAAGACGTTCGCCGCTTCGTTCAGATCCCCGTCGTCATTTCACGTTCGCGAGGGTTCCGTCGTCCCGGAATATGTGACAATATTTTATCACTCGCAGCGGCCTTCTCGCCCTCGGCGGCCCTTCTTGCATCACTCTCCTCGACGACATGCCACCCGCCCCCGAGTTGACCCCTGCTCGCCGTCGCCGCCGCCGTCGCAAACCGTGGACACCGAAGAGGAAGCCGAAGCCGACGTATAGAGAACGCAACATACACGAAGTCACGGAAATTACGGATGAAGCGGACGATGAATACGGAAAATGGTATCTGGTGGAGTGGGCGGGTATCGATCCGCGCACGGGCGGTCCTTGGCCCCCGGATTGGATCCACGAACGAGGGATGCGCGCTCCCGAGTGTCTCAAGAGGTGGCAAGTAGAGAAGAGGCGGAGGTTGTACAACAAACTTCATTCGCGTGCGTTTTCAACTTGTCTTACCGATTATGTGACGCTTATGAGGCAATATTATACTCATGTCTCTATTCGCGACGTAGGTACCATCAAACCAAAGAGAATACCATCGGCAGAATTGCGCAGATATACACCTTTTACAGCACCTACCCTTTATGGACACACCCCGACCCAGCTCAGGTCATGCGTGCCACGGGACGATGTCGAACACTGCCCCGGCACAGACGAAGAGATCCCTGTCTTCTACGAAGGGCACTCCGGCCCATCTAAAGACGACCATATGGACATCGATCAAGCACTTCTTTCGGAAACGCGAACCGCCCTCGAACCGGATGACAAGGGTCGCGACGGATCCGACGAGGACGACATGCTACAGTACCCCCCGGACGAAGGTAAGCTGTTTCAGCGTATTCCATGCCACGTGGGGCGCTAACTGTCGCCTCCAGAACTCAAGGAAGGCTTTGAAGATCTCTTCGACAGCGTGGACCTGGATGCCGACCCGGAAGTCGCCAGCGTCAGCTACAAGAACTCTACACTCCATGCGGACTTCGCATTCGATGACATGCCGCCTCTCCCCCCGATCACGTATGCACCTATCAATTGTGCCGCTGCGTGCGCGAACGATCGGTGCTCCGACAGCATGACGAAGGCCCCTGAAGCCGTGCTCGTGCGGTCGACCTCGAGTATCCCCGAGGACGGGTTGTCAAGCGCGTTAGCGGGGCGTGCCCGCCCGCGCACCGTATGCGAGCTAGCCCGCTTGCGTTATGGCGACGATTACGATCAAGACGACGGCTTCGACGACGAAGACTCAGTTCCCGAAAGCAACGATGACCTGCCAATGCACTTGCCGGTGCAGGCGTCGCATGTGGGGAGTGCGTCACAGGATACTGGGTTCGAGACGTTCGCGCTGCCAGCGCATGCTGTCGATGTGGTCGGTGCTGGCGAAGACGACTGCGCTGAGGACGTCTTCCTAGACTCTGAAACCCTCCTCTATCCGGAGGAGCCCGATTCCGAAGAAGACGCTGCGAACGCGGCAGCTTCGACGTCTCAGCTTGCAGCCCCATCAGTCATCGAGGATCGCGACGCCACGCTGCCGGACAAGGGCTCGGACGCCATCTCCGCGGGAAGCAAGCTCCCCCAGGCGCCGAAGCCCGTCTTCGCGTTCCCCCGATTCAACTCCAACGAAAACGTGAACGCCGGCATCGATGGTCAAGCCAGCTCGAAGGGCGTGCAAGGCCTCATCATTACGCCCGTTCGGCCATCCCCATCGGAGCTCCAATTCACGAAACGGCGCATCAGCTTCGCGGGGCCGCCGTCTGGCTCGTTGCGCTCCGCCTTGGGAGGCCTCGGCGTTGAAGGCGCGTTTGGAGCCGCAGTTGCGTTCCCCTTCCATAAGCCCGTCAGGAACCCCTTCGCTGCTTCTCGTAGTGATCAGTGCAAGGGTCGTCATTAAGGTGAGCGGCACCAGTCGCTCTGAGAGCCAAAGGGTTGCAACTGACCCACTTGGCGTAGAACGTCCTGAAGAATTATAATCATGTGTGGTGCGCAGTTCATGCTTCCGTTTTGATTGTCTCATACACTTTTGCTCCTCCTGCTATCTTCTCTGCCGCTGCTAAGTATGCTCTGCTCTCGTTTCGCTTTCATTCGATGCCTGCCATAACTCGCTTTCACTATGCTTTCGTGCTCATCCGTCTTTGCACTTCACTCCCCTCCCTATGGGGCATACTCACTTATAATACTCTGAGATTATGCTGCTATTGACAAGTTATGCTACCTATCGTAACGATACCTGAGGCATGACCGCTGAGCGTCCGATCCTCCCGAGGCACCGGCTGGCAGTTGTCTTCAACACCGGAACGGTGTACCACTCCGAAGACCTTCAACGCCATAACGTTTCATTCGATTTGTAATGATTGTTGTTGACATTCTGCCGCGTACGCAGAGGTGCGGTAGTTGGTTTCGTTCTGGACCCTATGGATATCAGGATTAGTAGAAACTCTTGCGATCGATAGAATCACTTTTCTGTTATTCGAATACCAGGCCCCATACGGTAATATGGCACCAGCGAATTCGTCAATGCGCCTTGTGTCTTATCTTCGTAGTGCGATAGTAGCTGATCGGCGAAGTTCATGAGAGCCGAACAACAGTTAGCCATGATCCGCAGGTTGTCGTTGAGGCTAGGCCGGACACAAGATCGGGTGTACGTCGGGCTTGATCATCATCATGAGCACGTCGCACGCGCGGTCGAGGCGTTGTCCTTAACATTGACATTCGGGTCTGCCATTAGATGAGTGAGGAGCGAGAGCACCTGTCTCATGTGCGGGAGCAAGAATGAAATGGGCCCCTGGGGTATCGAAACGAATTCGAACGTCATGATGGCCCCTTCGTGCGCGTGCTTTTTACCTGGACATGGATGGGTGGATCAGGGGTTTCAACCAGGAGCGTCTGTTATGGGTTCCTGATGGCAATCGTTCCACTCTCTGGCAACCTTCTTCCCGACTCCTGTTGCAAGAGGAGAGTACGACGATGCTCGATCTCAGCCGCTTTGCTCACGGCAATTCATGGCCTGAGTGCTATACGCCAAGGTCGAGGTAAACGCCGGCGCGCCGGGCCTTTCTCCGGGTCTCTCTCTGACCGCACCTTCATTGGGGCATTATCTACATATAGTCTGACAAACGAAATAGTAACACGCAACGAGCGATCACGTACATACGGCTTCGACCCACCATTCGATGGCTATGCGTCCCCGACGGATAGCGCAGAACAACTAGATACAGAAGGAATTAGTGAAAGCCGTCATTGACCATACCAATGCAAGCGCGCGCTGGAGCAATTGTGGATCTTACGCGCCTGCGAAGGGAGTGAATGAAGAAGGCCCGTTGGCCGGCAATCTGCTGGGTGAGATTCCGGATACTCCTCTGATACTGTAGTGCGAATTGGGTGCATTCATGACAGTCCATGGCGGAGAGGACTCAGGAGGCAACGTAACACCTCAACGCCAAACCCCCAAATCGTGTTCTCTACCAATGTGGATGTAGCGTAAAGTCGGTGGTGATCTGTGGCTCCGGCGCGCCCTTGAAACCGATCACCTCCCGCTGCTTCCCTGCAGAATGCTCCAACTCACGTTGCGTTAGCGTTGGTGGCCGGATAAGTATGGTCGCATACGTATGTTAGTGGCAGGCCCTGTTGGTCGTGCTTGGAAGCTTGGTATAGGTGCGAGCGGCGGGGCCGGTGGCTATGTTGCGTGCCAGCACTCCCGCTCTCAATACAGAGGCCGAACTCGATGACCGGATGTGGGTCTCCCGGGTACTGACGGCGACCTTTTGGGCAGAGTATGATGCGATGGGAGGGGTCATGGTTTTTGTGAGTGAAGCTGGTGAAATAGCTTGCGATTGGCTAGATGGAATGAAGCAGATTCTTGCGGTCATAGGTGAGGAAAGCACATGGGGTGAGTCGATGACACGAGGGGCCGTCGCACACGTTGAATGTTGAGCACCCTATCCAGTCGAAGGCGAGGGCCTTATTTCATCATCGAAGCTGTCCTCCTGCCGCATCCCAACTCCGCATGCCTGGGCCTCGGCGTTCACGCCTCTGAGTTCCTCTTGGAGGTGGGGGCAGTCGATACCGACGTAACGAGGCCGACTGGAACCGAATTTGAGTTATCGCTTGTCTGCGTCAGGGTGTCAGGAGTTGGGCTTGTTGCGATGATTATGGTGGCCTGCTGATGACAGTACGTAGCGATCGAGAGACGGGGTTGCGGAGCACGGCTGGAGGATGTAAAGTAGGTGGAGGCCAACGTTTGCGATCGTCATAGGTGAAGCGAGGATATGAGAAAGATGGATATGCATGTTGCTGAAGATCTTGACGATGGCGATGGCCTCGTTCCGTCGTCAAAGCTGTTCCACCTCCGCCGCCGTTTGTGCTGTCCACATCCTACCTCCCCTTTCCTTGTCCTCGCCGTCCTCGTTCACAAATTCCTCGCACAGGTGGAGGCAGCTGATGCAGAATCGAATCCTGCAGCTTAACTGATGCCCGTGTCAGAGGTTGGTAGAGCGGGGCCTGCTTGGGCGAATGCGGAGAGGACAGCTGGAACAGAGACTTCTAGCGATGGTTCGAGGGCGGACCGCCAACGAAGCAGTGGGCGTCGAATCGGGCATCGGGTGTGCTCTACGTACGAAGGCGGCGTGGCATGTCAGCGAAATCGGAGATGGGAGAACTACAGCGTGAAGATCTTACAAAACCAGACTCGATCAGAGCAAACCGTCTGAACCTCTTCGAACCAGGTGTTGTCAACGTGTTTTTTGCTCCGTCTGGCAGAGACTTCGTCGCCCGTGAACGATATAACTTATGTACCAGTCAGCTGGAAAAGCGGAAGTCTGGGTGGCGCCAACAGCCCTCACAGAGACGAAGCGCACTCATCCGGATTTCGCACGATACGCCGATCGTCTGCTCTATGTCACTTACCGTGGTGGACGAAATCTCGGCGTCGCGTGTATTGATGTTCTGATCGTTCAGGAAAGTCGCGAAGATATATCTCTGAGAACGCTGGCCCGCGCGGCGGACATTGACTCGCTGCAACGACGACCCAACGTGGAGGGTGTAAGGGTCCTCCTGCTAAACCTAGCCCCCGTCTTCGAGATCTTGATTCTTTGGAACTTCTTGCAGTTCTCCCGGCGACTCTTGCGGCCCGTGGTTGTTCCGTGCCCGGAGACGAAGCTTAAATTGGACTCAACTCCTCTTGCCCCAAGGACCAAGGTATTGATACAGACTCTAGCCCGTCCTTGATAGCTATGGGGTAATGCCCGACCGATGGCCAATCGCCCGCTCGATCGTTAAGGCAGCACGAACGAGTGGAACGGCGCATGTCGCTCGAATGCTTCCCTCCCGGGATCGGAAACGTCGTACGCTCTGTAAGAATGAAACTCTAACAGCATGTGTTCATCACACCACCGAACTTCTCATGTCATGTACGATACCGTGCATGCTGAGTGCGTAGATAGCACGGCGGCGTTCTCATGCATGTGGTGCGCAGGACATGAGGTTATCGGCAGGCGAGCACATCGTAATTCGGTGACACGTATAGGTTGTTCCACCTTTCATCTTTCTCATCCTCCCGCCATGACCGAAGCCGCAGGAGACCCTACTCTGCCGTCTGGAGGCCGAGTGAACGACAGCAGTATGACTACACCATCCAAGATGTTGGAACTAACTGGTGCGCGTGCTCATACCTATGCGGCTTGTGGACCCGCCTCACTATCGTCGACAGGACTACGCTGCACGGGCTTGCGCAAACGTCGCTATTATTGTATCATACAGTTTGGGGCCATGTCATTCAAGACCTCTGTCTCCCCTGAAACGAAAGACCCATCTTGGGATGGCTCCATTCGCCTGTATGTGTCCGATTTAGTCACGATGGATGTCACCGACGCAATCCACAGGTTAGGCGATGCATCCAGCATCATCATCAACGTCCGTAGGCAGCGGATGTTCTTTTGCGGTAAACTTCGCAGCGACTCCCGAGTGGCTCATATCACCGTCGATCAGCTGGGCTCGCAGCCAACGGGTCAGTGGTTCGCCTATATTCCCTTCCTGTTTCTTGACGTTGGTGCTCGTGCAGATGCTTCCGCGACAGATAGACCTTTGGTCATGGAGGGGCTTCGCCATCGATGGTTGAAAGCTTCCATTTCCTTCGTCGCCACCCAATCGATGGCGTCTTCTCCATTCAGCCCCGGGACCACAGCGGCTGCCAAGCCTGAACCATCGACACAGCTTCCCCAGGGCGAGTTATCCGGTCGCGAAGATGGCAACGTTCCAAATAAGGGCTCGGAGAACGAGGAAGATCCCTTTGGGGCTAATGGGTGAGTGACCGAACCGACAGATCAACTTCATGGGGGCTCATCTTCCCAGTAAACTTCGCGAACTCGTCCATGACACCAAAGCGGATGCTGATGCGATGCGCTCTGCGCCCGATATTGTCGAGACCGTCGCCGATGCTATCCAAACCGGCAAGGATGCCGCCGAGTCTCACAGCGACGCGTTCGAGAGTTGGAAGTTCCTGCTGGACAAGCTGCAGTTTTTCGTGACTATCTCGGATGGATTAGCTCAGGTAAATGGCACTGCGCAATACGATGCCTCTGTGATAGCTCTTGATGTGACTTATAGATCCATCCTTACGCGCAGGCGGCCCTCAGCATCATATCAGCCGTTCCGAAGGTAGTGCTCGCTTCCTGGAGAAAAATCCGCCACTCAGTTGCACTTCTGCCGCAGGCAATCATAGAGCAGACAGGAAAAGATGCAGCCATACGTGATTTGGTGAAGATCATCAACAGGACGTTGAAGCTGATGGACGAAGCCGAGCCTCTTCGTCAAGAAGGCAACCGACGAGAGACCGCGAGTCTCATCGCTCAACAAATCGGCGAATGTGCAAAGTTCGTCTCCGATTACGCGAAGACCGAGGGTTTCAGTGAGCATCGCCGTCGATAGGTATAACGTAGCTAATTGGAGAGCATGTTCAGCGTTACGGCTCGCTAAGAATTTCGGTTGCGATGTCGAGGGCGCTGTCGCGGAATACAAGAAATGCCTTGAAGTACTCATTGAAGATTTTGAATGTCATACCAGTGTGGCTACAAACATTGTTGTTCTGGAGGTTCTGGAGAGCGCACGGCGTGTCGGTCGGTGACGTCATCCACCCCGTGTATCGCTTTTGTTGACATCGCACAGACCAGAACGTTATCTTCCGCGAGCTTCCCGTTGCGTCGGGCTCAGGCTTCGACCCCGACAAGGGATGTCTACCTAAGACCCGTATTCCGCTCATCAATCTCATCATTGATTGGATCGATTCCCCCGACGAAGCCAACTCGCAGCGGGTCTTTTGGTTGCGGGGTCCTGCGGGCGCCGGGAAATCCGCGATTGCTCACACTATCGCCAAGCATTACAATGACAAGAGGAGGCTCGGTAGTATGGTGTGCTTCAATGCCGCCGGATGCAAGATTGAACAACTATTTCCTACGCTTTCCTTCGATCTATCAGATTTCGATCGAGGATGGAGGAAGGCGCTATGGGAAGCGGTCAAAGACAACAGTAACCTTCGCCACACCCACTCGCTGCAGCTCCAGTTCGATGGTCTTTTCCTTGGTCCAGCAAAAGCCGTAGCAGAGCATTCTGTGAGCCCTATCGTGATCATCCTGGATGCTTTGGATGAGAGTGGCAAAGAATCGGAACGGTCTAAACTGCTGCCATACATATTGCGGCTACAGGAGCTCCCCAACAACTTTCGTTTTCTGGTCACCTCGAGGGACGAGAAGGACATACGAGACAAACTCACAGACCTGCGATGCGTACGCCAGCAGAATATTGCCGTTTACAACGACACTGTTGACCATGATATCGCTCTGTTCGTGCGCGAGGACTTTTCCGCCAAGGCACCTCATATAGTAATGGACGCACGGTGGAAGGGAGAGTCAATGGTACAGGAAATCGTTAAGGCCGCTGAGAAGTCTTTTCAGTGGGCGTTCACGGCGTGCAGCTTCATCCGAGGAGAAGACAAGTACAAGGAGTACGACTGGCACGATCGTTTCTTGGCCGTTCTGTCTTCTGGATCTTCGTCGCAAGATCAGGAATCCGGCGTTCGTTACAGTCATCTGGATACCCTCTACAAGCTAGTTCTAGGTCAGCTGTTCGGGGATGGACCATCGGATCGTTTCAAACGCGTGTTGGGATGTGTCCTCTCAGCAAAGGTACCGTTACCCCTGGATGCACTGGAAGAGCTACAAGAGGAGAAAGATCCGCGAGGCTGTACCACCAACGTCTTGAACATCATGGGATCTTTGTTATATGGTGTTTCCAACCCAGGAGATCCGATTCGTCCCCTACACAGCTCCTTTCGTGATTTCCTGACCGACAATTCTCGAAGCGGTGCTTACTGCGTGAATCTTATGGATGCGAATGAGCTGCTAGCCCACTCGACGCTACGAATCATGCGGACATCGCTTCGCTTCAACATATGCCATCTTGCGTCTTCATACGACCTCAACGACGAGTACGATGATCTTGATCAGCGTATCCTGAACAACGTGACGTCTGGTCTCATCTACGCAGTCTGTTATTGGGCGCAACATATCGTCCCTGGACCCGGGGCTACTCTATCCCCCGAATTGCTAACTCAAATCGAAGGATTTTTCAAGACTCGGGCGTTGTTCTGGTTAGAGTCACTGAGTCTGTTGAACTCATTACAGTCGGGTTCGTCCGCGCTGCTGACGTTGAAGAGAGCCTTGACGGTGAGCATTCCTATACCGAACGACATTCGCGTGTTAACAAGGCGCTATCTTTTAGGGAAACGATGAGGCGAGCGATGTTCTTCGCTTGGTCGAGGATCTCGATAGATTCCTCAGTTTATACTGGGACGTGATCTCAATCTCAGCACCCCACATCTATCTCTCTGCTCTTTCCTTCACTCCGGAGACTTCGCTCGTATCTCAAAATTATATGGAGTCCTTCCCCAACAGCGCGAGGGTCTTGCAAGGTCGACTGGCTCATTGGCCAGCGTTACGATGCACAATGCAAGGTCACCGGGGTGTTGTCAGATCTGTCAAGTTTTCGCATGATGGGAAGTGGATAGTATCGGGCTCACATGACTGTACTATTCGTATGTGGGACGCCGAGTCAGGTCAGGCTGTCGGAAAGCCGTTCGAGGGTCATACGGATACCATTTATTCGGTAGCATTCTCTTCGGATGGGAGACGCATCATCTCAGCCTCCGCCGACAACACCATCCGAATGTGGGATACAGCAGAGGGCAAGGCGATTGGAGAACCGTTCCGCGGCCATACCGTAGAAGTCAATTCCGTCGCATTCTCGCCACAGGCTGATGATCCGCGCGCAGTCTCAGGTGCCAATGATTCGACTATTCGCTTATGGGATACGAGCACGGGGAAAATGCTCGGAGAACGCATGAACCACACACACGTTGTAATGTCTGTAGGATTTTCACCAGATGGAACGCGCCTGGTCTCTGGCTCTGAGGATCATACAATACGCATATGGGATGCGCAATCACAAAAACTCGTGGCAGGACCTCTCTCAGGTCACGGTGATACTGTCCTTTGTGTCGCCTTTTCACCTGACAGCATGCGCGTTATGTCGGGATCCAGAGATGGCACAATTCGAATCTGGGATGCAGAATCCGGGCAGACGATAGTAGGCCCGCTCGTGGGTCACACCCGTCCTGTGACGTCTGCGAGTTTCTCCCCCGACGGAAAGTACATCGTTTCCGGATCAGTGGACGACACGATTCGACTGTGGGACGCGAAGAACGGGGCCAAACTCGGAGAGCCGGTTCATTGCCAGAGTATACAAGTTCTGTCTGTGGCGTATTCCCCGGATGGATCCCGCATAGCCTCTGGATCATGGGACGGACATGTACGAGTGTGGCACACGGCGGAGATGGCAACGACCAAGGCTTCTGGCACTCCAACTCCTGTTATGTCCATCGATGTGACCTCCGATGGCAGCCAAATCGTCGCGGCTGACGTGGATGGCTGGCATCGGTGTTATGATACCGCAACACAAGCGGCCATTGGGAATCCTTTCGGCGGTGACGAGCTGCAGAGTGGTAACACACTTTGGTGTGTCGCCTTTTCCCCAGATGGCAGTCGGATAATCTCGGGCTATTACGATGGTAGCATCCGACTATGGGATGTAGAAAGGGGAACCGTCATCGGAGAGCCGTGGAAAGGCCCGCATAAAGGCCTCATCTCCTCTATTCTCTTCACGCCCAGCGGCCAGCAAGTGATCTCAGGGTCTTGGGACGGCACTATCTGTGTGTGGGACGTGGAGACTGGTAAAGCGCTCGGTGAATCTTTCAGCGGACACGACGCTGGCGTTACATCCCTCGCACTATCACCCATCGGCAAAAGACTTATCTCCGGATCAAAGGATCACACCATTCGAGTCTGGGATGTGGAGATTAGACAACCTGTTGGAGAGCCTCTCCAAGGTCATACCAATGAGGTCAGTTCCGTCGCATACTCCTCAGATGGGAGCCGAATCGTTTCCGGATCGGATGACGTCACGGTCCGGCTGTGGGACGCAGAGTCCGGGGATCCCATCGGAGAGCCTTTGGTTGGCCGCGCCGTGAACTCCGTGGCATTTTGCTCCCATGATGAGTATGTGATCTCTGGATCTTGGGATGGCACGGTACGGATTTGGGGCGTAGGGACGACATCGGGGCCACTGGTCGCCGTTTCACGAGGACATTCGCACGGGGTCGCATCGGTCAAATGGTCGTCTAAGACGAGCTGCATCGTTTCCGGCTCGTGGGATGGCTCTGTCCGGTCTTGGGACATCCGAGAGCTTATCGGCAAGCCTACCCAATCACTCATGCAGGACCAAACAGCAGTCGAAGAGCCGATGTTCAACGGCGATACCGGAACCGATGCACCATTATCTTCGGAGTTGACGAGTTCAAAATCTACAGGTGACGTTCTCCTTTGTTATCCCAAGTCATCGACTCACGGTGCAACTACAGACGAGGACACGACGTCCCCTGATTCTCCGTCTCAGATCTCCATCTGTTTCTCATCCGCTCCCGAACATCAACTCCGTGACGCTCATACGTTCTTCCCGAACGGCGAGCCAGGATGGAGCCACGCGCGCATGAAAGCTTCATTCGGACTAGCTTCATGGAGATCGGACAATAAGGGATGGATTTTAGGTCCCGACGACGAGCGACTACTCTGGGTCCCACAGCATAGTCGTTGGAACCTCTGGCAACCTGCGTCCAGACTGTTCTTGCCCTCGGAGGAGACGACGATGCTGGATTTGAGCCGCTTCGTGCACGGCGAGAGGTGGGCAGAGTGCTACAAGTTCTACGAGCCCAGGACGGACGAGGGCGAAGCTGGTGGAGAGCACTGAGAATGCCGAAGGCTGCGGCGATGATTGTTCGGATCATTCGGAGACGGAACGCACGACACGTATATGATGTATTTGCATTGGCAGTCAGGATACATGCAAGGTGCATTCTTACCGCTGTATTTTGATAGCCAGACAGGCATGGTAGCAAACACGACGCAGGGAGTGCAAGCGGCGCCTCTCGATGTTGAGCTTCGAGCTTTCAAGGTACGAGTCATGGCTCCACCAGTCCGAACTTAGGCTGTCGGTGGCATGCATACGACGAGCGGCAATGGAGGGAACGACCGGGTTCTAGCTGAGCGAGGCAGCGGGGGCAGCGGTCCCGATTGCTCGTGCTATTGGCTCTCGACGGGTTCACGAAACCCCGGTGAACGCGGTTGAGCACGAGCTTGGAGAGGAGGCGTGGTCGAATAAAGTCAAAGGAGCAATGAGCGCAGTCGGGAACGATTTCGCTCTTTCAACTGATTGAGCGAAACGATCATCGCCAAATAGTGACGCTGACGCACCTTTTTGTGCTTTTTCACATCGTCGAGCAGCATCATGCGTGTCTAGGAGCTCAGCCATATGGAGTGATTGAAGCCTTGTACTCATGCAGGCGACGAGTGCTCGTGGATGTTTGTGCCAAGAGAAGCAATCGGTACGTATCCGACGTCGAACACGTAAAAAGAACGGGGCTTTCAGCGCTGAGCGTTCACGTCTGCATAGAACGGGTGTTATCCAGATCCCTTGGTCGAATTCAATTAGAGTGCGCAAGTCAATCCGAGAGAGGTGCGTCATAGCACCGTCTATGTATGTAAGGTAAGTTGAAATGTAGAGAAATTGGCCGGGCAATAGAGGTTGTATATGTAACGGCGACCTGTTTGGAGCCCTTGCTCCCGCGTTGCGAGCTCGACCTCTCTTGTACATGCCTGCTTTCCTCCTCCCCCTCTGCCCTCATCGACGTCAGTAGTAGCAGCCGCGCACAGCGTGCACCAGCGTCAATGGCCTGACTATCCTCCTTGCTTGGATGATCGTATTTGCAGCGCTATCAGATCCGCGTTGGGCTTCTGTCTCATTCTGCTTCCGGCCTATCCGAGGCACGGGCCCTCCGAGTATCTTGCACACCGCCGCCACGGACGACGACGACGACGACAACAACAACAAGAATTTACTCTGCGTTCGTATCTCATGCCGTCGATGCTGCCTTCACCCCAAGACATCGACCATCGCCTGGGGACCATATGTGAACCGACTCCACCTTGTCGCGTAGGAAGGCCCTGAAGGACACACATATACGCCATGGAATCCGCACCCCTACCCCCCGCTCTCCACATCTTGCCTCTCCCGTACCCGCTTCTGCTCCTGCCAACCGCTCATTTGATGCCCCTCTTCTCGTTGCCCGTCGGCGAAGCCCTACTTCACGTCCTCCACACCAGCGACGCGGTTTCCCGCTAGGCCCGCCCCCGCCACGGCACATACGACAGACGACCAAAGGACCCGTGCACGAACGCCCTCGTATCCCACGACAAGAACACAGCGCCGGTCGTGTTTTCCTTCTCGACAGAGTACTTTGTGCACGCCCAACGCTCGCGGCGCGATCGCAGCGCGCGACGGCGCTCTGCGTCAAGCGCTCGAGCATCCTCGAAGTGAGCTCGAAGGTGGCGAGCGACGTCGCGGAGAGCCTCGGTCGGCAGCGAGAAGGTGTTTAAGTCCGGCGGCCGATGACCCGCCACACAGAAGGAGCTCGTCGGTGAGTTTCCTCCGTTCGTCGATCCCTGATTACTGTGAAGTTGAACCGTTTCGATTTTCTAGCGCTGATCTTGTCCTCGTCGCGCGGGCTCATCGGCGATGGCGCGCAGGGTCCCGTGCGCCGCCGGCGAGCGATCTCGATACCGACGAAGGCGCGGATGCGGACGAGCTCGCGGCGCTCCGGGCGAGGATGGGGGCGCTCGTGCCTGTATCCAATGAACGTAAGACACGGCGACCAAGGCGTCTCAGCGGATGAAAAGGATTCAGCCGAGCAGTGCCGATGCTGGGGTCGTGAGGAGCTATACGTGAGTGCTTCTCTGCGCTTATATGCGTCTCGTTCTCGATGGAAGCACGATGCTGACTTTGTCTTGCATTTTGTAGCTGGAATGGCTCGTCGCGCTTCTCTGGCCGACCGCTCGAAGCGACCACGCGAAAGAGAACGACGGGACCCTGGCCAACACGGCCTTTTTTGCAGAAGGCGCGCGTACAGCTACGGCGGGATCGTTACGGCGTCGACATGGTCAATCGCCGGTTCATCGAGTACTTGGCCGTTGTCTGGTTTCGTGCCCCGGTCGACGGGGAAGATAGTTCTCCGGCGCGGGTGGTTGATCAGGGCAGGATCCGGAGGTGAGGGAGGGCGTGCGCTCGGTGGGTGGGGAGGTGTCGGTGCCGAAGGAGAGACCGAAGAGGGCACGAGGGGGCGTCAAGGCCCCGATACCGTTGGTTATCGGCCCACCGGGTGCAGGGAAGATGTCGCTGGGAGCGTCGATTGCTCGCGCTGGACGGACCGTCAGCGAGGGTGTCCCTTGGTATGCTGATTTCACCGCATTCGAACGCTTAACTGACACTGACATCGACGTCGAAGGTGAAACGCGCGATGAAGCGGAGATCGGCGGGCATAGGAGGACGTACGTCGCTAGCGGCCTTCGACGATGGATCGTGCAGGCCATCAGCATGGCGATGTTGCTCGACGCAGGACGACGCCGGCTGAGGAAGACCGGATCATGTCGTTGGGCACGTAGCTCTCGCTCCGGGAGGATATGTGCAAGCTGTTCGAGATCGATCCCCGGGCAAGGAACGAGCTCGTGAACGTGCTCGCGGGCAAGTGCGCGCGTGGAGGCGGAGGTGAAGAAGCGCCGGACGTAGCTGAGGGCGTAGAAGAATCGCGTTGGGGAACTGGAGAGGACGTGTCGAGGGTCGGAGAAGCATGTGGATAGGGGTCGATAGGAGGACTCGGAGCGCGGGGGAAAACAGGTGAGCATCCCGTTGCGCGGTTGAGCGTTCAGTGGCTGAACGAGGCGTTCAGCTCGAGGAAGAGATTGGGCAGGAACGCGCTCACGCTGATCAACTGGAGTCGGCTGTTCAAGAACACGACGTACGCATATCCGAGCTGGAGCACGAACGTAGCTAACGCTGCACGCGCAGAAGAGCTTGTCCAGGAGTTCGACGCCGAGATCGAGAACCTTAGCCGTCGTGTCGTCTCATGCGATGACGAAGCGAGAGCCTTCGCGAGCAGTTGTCCGCCGTCGAACGCGAACACGATCGCCTTGCAGGCGAGCATCGCCGGACGCTTGACGAGAGTGACAAGTGCTCCGACGAACGCGTCTCGCAAGTAATCGAGGAGAAGGCCGAGGCGGAGGAGCAGCTCCGGGCCCTCGAGGAGCGGGTCAAGGCGCTCGGCGATCGAGGCAAACAAGCTGCGGAAGGGGGCGCACGAGCTGAAGATGGAGGGTTCCGACAAGCACCTGAAGATAGTGCATGAACAAGCAGCTTGTGGCTAAGGAAGAGGATAACGAAGGCCTGGATGTTGCTTTGGATTCTGAGCAGCAAGAGCTGAGACTTGTCAGCTGTTCGGTCTTCGTGTGCAAAGACAAGGCTGATGTCAACTCCTTGAAGGTGAAATGGAAACTCGCTGTCCGCGCTGCGACGGGAGGTGCACCTACGCTCTCCAAGGCGACGCGACAGGAGTCGGTGCTGGCTACGCCGGCCTTGCGTCGGCCATCCGTCGTCGCCGACACACTCAACGCTTCTCGACCTTCGTCGACCATGTCCGAAGCAAATACGACAGCCAAGGCGCTCACGTCTCGCCCGAATCCCGACTCGGTAGGGTCCGTGGGCTCGAGCGGATCGAGCACCGCAACAAAAGCGAGGATCGCAGGGACAATGGGCTTTCCTTTATCCATCTTCGAGCCCCGGTCTTCCGTGTCTGGAACAACGTCCACACCTGAGTCTCGCATAGGCTCAACCACCAGTCGCCGTCCGGCGCTCGCTCCTCGCCCTCGGCCATACCTCATTCCTGGACGACGAGCGTAAGAAAGCGTGTGTCGGTTGACGCATCGACGAGGACGCCGATCAAGAGCCGAGAAGCGGCGAATCAGAGCGAGAGCGAGCAGAGTGGCAGCGGCAAGGAGAACAACCCGAAGGCTGCGAGAAGGATGTAGGCCATCCCGGTCTCGGCGTGATATACCCTTACACACCACATCACGCACCCTATCGACACTTGCCACCCATCTCGATAATGTAGCATCTCAGCACACGCCGCATTCCACGCATTTATGCACGCATATCGACATTTATCTATCAGGGATACGCTCGTGAATAACGTCGTAGCCCACTCTCCGCTCCTTGCTAATTCGCATACTCGCTGATATATGGACAAGAATGTGTTCTGCTCTGCTGCTTTACTTTGCTGTGTTCGCCTGCTTTCTGGTGCATTGGCGCTTGCCGCCTCATATACTCTTCATGCTCTCTGTCCACAAGCCGTGCTGAATTGTTTTATTTATGCTCTCGAACATGTATCACCGAACCACAGAAATCTAAGATCTTGTCATGAATGTTCCGTAGCCAGCTCTACAATACGGTACCTATTCCGCCTTGACCCCGTCAGATCTTGTGGATTGCGCGGGCATATACTCTACATGTCTTGAGTGGTCGAGACGCTCGTGGACGGCTGGACGGACGCAGGCGAATAATCGAATTGGCAAGCACTGCAGGCGTGATGCGTCGCGGTGTCTGGCTCACTACCAGCACTTTTACAGCAAACCACCGTCACGTCATGCGCAGTCTTGATTTTCTGCACATCGCACATATGTTCAAGCTTCAAGCTTGAAGTCCCGCCGCAAGTTACCCAGCGTCCCCGGTGCTCGAGCCCGACCCGACTGAAGCTTGGGGCTTCAATCAAGACGTCCTGTACTGAGGCTGTTTCATGAAACCCTGAAACCAACGGCACCACCCCCACCTGCCATTCTACCACCACCTTATCCGCGATCGGCAATAGGTTGGGCTATTCAGGGCGATGCTCCGTCCGATATGGATGGTCCCGTGAATACCATGCAGGCAGTTCGCTTCACGGCAGACTCCCACACCGCTTCAAGGCCTCCTCATCTTACCCTGTTACACCGGCGTTGGCGCAACTGATAGCTCACATTCAAGGGACCTCACCGTGTGTGACTCGAGGAGACATCCTAACGGCGAGGCTGGGATACCTGCCATGATCGAGCTCACAGGTGCGTCCTGTGGACATTTGAGTGCTTGTCGTGCTGATTTGGCGCTGAGGATAGGCTTACGTTGCACGGGCTTAGGCAAACACCGTCATTATTGCACCATACAGGCAGGGCGGGAGTCGTTGCGAACGCCCATCTCGCCGAAGACGAATCAACCGATATGGGACGATGCCTTCAGCTTGTCAGTACCCGAGTCTGTCCCCATGTCAGCCCTCTGATGCTCCTCCAGCTCGGGCGAAGATTTGTCTCCCGTGGTCATCAAGGTTTGGGTGCGGCACGCGAATCTCCCTGGATTGATTCTTCGTCGGGATACTTTGGTGGGACAAATCACGGTTGATCAGCCCAGCGCGGGGCCGACCCGTCAGTACGACAATCTTCCCCCTAAGGCCACCGGTTGACGATAGTGCAGATGTCGCATCCCGGCCCCTGCAGATGGACGATCGTCGCGCTCAACGGTCCAATGCGTTGATTTCCTTCGCCCTTGCCCGGTCGAACTCGCTGCCTCCCGTGCCTCCGGCGCCTACTACGATCGCCGAGCCAAACGATTCAAAGCCAACCTCTCCAGGTATGTTTGCAGATGACCGAGATTTTCTGAACTCACCTGTCACGCACGTAGAAAACGACCGCGACTTGTTCGGAAAAGATGGGTGAGTGTCCATCTAGGGATGATCGACCGAGTGCGTGCTCAAAGTACATCCTTCATCAAGTGCAGT